GCTGTGCACATTACCAGAATAAAAAAAATTAATCATCAGTCTCACCCAGCTGTGAAACTTGAGAGCTATAATACTGACTTACCAGTAAAACATACCCACTGGTATAGTAGTGACAGGAATGAATGTTATGGAACTAATCACGCTTTGTTCAAATTTAAGGTCTCTTCTACCACATGGAACCCAAAAAGGCCAAGACGGTGAAGCAAAATAGGTTGTAGGCCTTAGAGGAAAAACAGATCACTGTTCTGCTCAATGAATATAGTAATAAAATGATATCTGATGACATAGTGCTATATGCAGATATCAGGGCACTGATCAAGTTTGATCAGAGAAGCGTCTTTCAGTGGATGGTGATTAGCACAGAGACCCACAGCTAGTCATTGCAGAGAGTGAGAGACTTTAGGATGCTCAATCTTAAATGGGATGTCTATATTGTGCCCCTCCCTTCAAGGAGGTGGAAAGACAGAGCCACAGGTTGTAGATGTGTTCAAGGAAACAGCGTCTACCAGACACAACAGGTGGATGAACGTATGAATTCACAGAGACTGTGACACCATGCACAAGACCTGCATAAGCTCAAGTGAAACAAAATCCCAGGATAAAGCAATTCACAATTGATAGCTTCTGGAAGTGGGAAAATCATTCTTCTTAAATGATTTGACATGGTGAATCAACCACATTCCAGGACAGGCTCCATGGTAAGGGGTAGTTAGCCAGCCCAAATTTGTCATCAAGGTTTGTGGTGCTCTTGTTTTAAATGGAAAAAGAACATAAACTTAGGTGGGTAGGGACAATCTGGGAATATTGGGGAAGGTGAGTAAGAGCACACTGCAGAGACTGCGGGAAAGCTAATCAGAGGAGGGTCAGGTTTTTATTTTACCATGCTACACAGTTCAAAGGTTTTTATTTATTATGTAGACCGTGTTCTGCCTGCATACATGCCTGCGGCCAGAAGAGGGTACCAGATTCCTCTGTGGATGGTTGTGAGCCACAATGTGGTTGCTGGGAATTGAACTTAAGACCTCTAGAAGAGTAAGCAGTGCTCTTTAACTTCTGAGCCATCCTTCCAGCAACCAGTTCAAAGGTTCTGTCCAATTATATACATCAGTTTTTAGCTTTTATATGTAAACTTTTGAAGTGTTTTTATTTATTCCTTGAGAATCCTTTTCTTTAGATCATAAATCTCTTCTATTTTGCAATCTTGGTTATTTTATTAGATTACTTCCTTCTGAGTGTCCTCACTATCTGTGCATATTGATATTCACTGAAAAAAGTAGAAAGAAAAATTTGCTTATGCTTCATTTCAGCATAGTGGAAGTTAAGTTGCTGAACTATAAGTAAAGAAAACAGTTTCTGAAAAGATAAACAATATTTTTCATCGTAGTAGGCAGCTAGAATTTTTTATTTTTGCTTCATCTTTGTAATTTCTGTTTTTTAATTTGCATGTTACTACTTTAAACACAGTTTACTCCTGAAAGAAGATATAAAACTAAATGTGCTAATTATGTGTGTGTGTGTGTGTGTGTGTGTGTGTGTGTGTGTGTGTGTAGGCCAGAGGAGAACTGTGGAGTCAACTCTTGCCTACTTTTGTGTAGTTTCTCAGGATTGAACTCAGGCCATCAGTCTTTCATTGCAAGTTTTTTGTTTTGTTTTGTTTTGTTTGGTTTGGTTTTACGAGACAGGGTTTCTCTGTGTTGTTTTGGAGGCTGTCGGTCCAGCCTGGCCTCGAACTCACAGAGATCCGCCTGCCTCTGCCTCCCGAGTGCTGGGATTAAAGGTGTGTGCCACCACTGCCCGGCTCATTGCAAGTTCTGTTAAACTGTCTCACCAGCCGAAGAAGGCTATTTTATTATATTAGCTTATGGAAGATTTTTTCAGTTCTATGGTTCTAAAATTTATACTTAAAATAAATATAGTTTAGTAATATTTGGGTGAGCAAAAGACACTTGAATGTGGTATAAATATGTACAGTGGACATATATATATATATATATATGTGTGTGTGTGTATATATATATATTTCAGTATTTCTCCATTGCCAATAAGATATATTGGTTGTTATCTAGCTGCTGATAGATTAAAAGAATCTCGGCATTCATTAGTAAGTCCTTCCTTCTTTGGGGAATTCTGTATTGTGATTTTGACTTCATCTTGGAATGTTGTAGGTTTTGTCTGTTTTCTTCAACACATTTGTTAAGCTTTTATTTCTGTCACTCAAAAGTTTATGTCTATCATTTATACTTCTTTTGTCCAGTTTTTGAAGTTCTTCAATATCTTATGTTGAGTTCTTATGATTCATTTTCCTTTTGTGTTCATGTTTGTTTTGCTAGATTCGGTATTCCACCTTCATTGCTCTCCTTTACGTGTTTGATACTCTAGCTTACTACTCATCTTTATATGAGAATCTTCTCTTGGTTGTTTTTAAAAGTGTGCTTCTGTTTGTGAGGTTTTATCAACCTGAATCGAGTTACCCTTTCTCTCAGTGCACAACTTCTTAGTCTTTAGGTTAAAGGATCTACTTAATAAAAAAAGGTGGTGGGGAACTCTAGTCCATTTCCTCATTCTTAGGCTTCTCCCCTACCTAAGCATTCTAGACCATAGGTCTGAGGGCTTCTTTAGAACTACCTTGTAAAGTCTTTCTCTGTGAACTGTGATTCCTCTTGGGTTGGTGTTTATTTTGACAGGGTATCACTATGTGGCCCAAGCTACCTTCTAACTCATGAGCTTTCTGTCTTTGCCTGCCAAGTCCTGAGTTCATAGGCATGCTTCACCACCCAACTCTGCATCTTTCTTTTGTTTTTTATTTACTTCTGCTTTACATCTTTGTATATTTCTTTTTCTCCTTCTGAACCCATTTTTATTTCAAACTAGTCCTCTCTTAGTTTTATGTGTCCCTTCTTTAGTTAATTAAATTTGTTTGCATGAGCTTGGAATGGGAGTTATTTGCTGGAGCATGGGTTAGTTACTGGTTATACCACTGAAGAAAATGACACTCCCTTCCATAGCAACCATTAACTGACAATAGGTCCTGGGAAAAGTGGACAACCAAACACAATGGCAATAGTCTGCATTGATTGGGAGCTTCTGAACTTAATATGGTCAGCAGCTCATAGGGATCCTAGTACTTTACACTGAGATTTTCATTTAAAAACATGACATCTGGGAGTAGCATACAGGGTACCTCCTTACAAGCTCTCTTTTTATTTAAAAATTTTATATTCTTAAGAATTTCTTGCAAAAGTACTGCATTTCTTTCCCTTCCTGCTCCAATTCCTCCCATGTCTCACCCACTGCCTCTACTCAACTCCCTTTCAAGTTCATGGCCACCTCTTCTTTCATTCTCTCTCTCTCTCTCTCTCTCTCTCTCTCTCTCTCTCTCTCTCTCTCTCTCTTTCTCTCTCTCTCTCTCTCTCTCTCCTTTCTCTCTCTCTCTCTCTCTCTCACACACACACACTCTGCTGTGTCTGTTTAGTGTTGCTCAGATGTATATGATTTCAGGGTTGATCCCTTGAAATTGGACTTGGATAGCCTGTCAGGGACCTCATCCCTAGAGGAGACTGATTCTCCCTCTCTTGGCAACCACTGATTGGTTATAGCTCTTAGTCAAGGGTAGTTCCCTGTGAGATTGCGTCCATGCACATTGGTTTATCAACTGGTATTGTCATTGTGCTGATCCTGTTTAGGCAATTGTATTCTTGATACTTCTTGAGCTTCCTTGTCATATATAGAAGAATATCTCAAAGCAGATGTCGTTGTTCCCTGGCTCTTACAGCCTTTCCATCCCTTCTATGATGTTTATGGGCCATAGGTGTAGGGTTGCATTGTACACGTATCATTTGGGATTGGATGCGTCATGGTTAGTTGTTCCCAGCATTTTGGCCTCTGGTAAATTTCTATAGTGGGCTTCTATCCACTGCAAAAAAGGAGCTTGATAAGGAGTGAGACGTATACTTCTCTGTGGGTATAAGGATAAGTATTAGAATTTAATTAGAAAATGTACTGGTTTAGGAAGGAGGCACATCTATCTCCTCAAGGGCCCAAGTAATACAGTTCTATGTGGCTTTTTCATACAAACTTAGTTTAGTATCTTTCTCTCATCTGTATTGAAACCTTTTCATGTCTAGTATTTCCCCGCTACATGCTTTACTGTCTTCTTCCATATTTACATCGTTACATCCTTAATGCCTCTCCCGATGCTGTGGCTTCTTTTTGCTTCCCAGCCTCTGTAGATACTCCAACTTAAACACATAAATCTAAGAATTCAAAGCTAGGCTCTGCATATATGAGAGAATATATAGTATTCGTCTTAGTGGGCCTCTTTGCTCATCAGTATATTTTTCAGTTCCATCCATTTTCCTGTAAATTTCTTTTTTTTTTTTTTTTTGGTTTTTCAAGACACGGTTTCTCTGTATTGTTTTGGAGGCTGTCCTGGAACCCGCTCTATTAGACCATGCTGGCCTCGAACTCACAAAGATCGGCCTGCCTCTGCCTCCCAAGTGCTGGGATTAAAGGTGTGCGCCACCAACGCCTGGCTGTAAATTTCATTTTTAATGGCTGAATATCAGTGTAATATTTATTTTTTAATTCTTAGAGAATTTCTCTAGTTTACTTTCTTTTATGAATTTTAGCCTCTTGCTGTTTTTAATTAAAAATTATCTTCAATAAATTTAGCCTCTTGCTGTCTTTTATTAAAAATTCTTTTAAATAAATTTGACAAAGAGATATGTGTTTATTAATTTGTCACTTGAATTGCTAGTTAATATTCAGCATTTCAGTGATATAGTTGGAAAAAATGCAGGATGACATTTCTGTATAGTCTTGCCTTGAGAGTATAATTGTGAGACAAGATTAATAACTTGTGTTCTATTCCCTTGGAAAACTTGAAATGTTTTATACTCCATAACTTTCTGATGATGAGTTTCCTCAAGCATATCATTATTTTTACCTTTAAGCACCTCAACTATGCTGACCTGCATATTTCTTGTGTATTCTTTTCCTAGCCTGCCACCTTAAGAGTACTCAAACCCAAACACTAATAGTCTAGACACTGAGGAGCACAGGATCAGCAGCTAAAGATTCAGAAGACAATGCTAGTATAGAGGAAGGCAAGCAAGAAAAGCCAAACAGCAGTTAGACAGACCACACCAGAAATGGAACCAGAAACTCCAGAGAAGGAGGATTCTGCACAGCAGAAAGTAAGCACCATGTCACAGCCAGACAGTGATGCAAATGATGGGAGAGAAAAGGCTGAACCGGAAGAGAAAGCAGAACTGAAGGAAGCATATCAGCTCCAGGTAGCTGAAGAAATGGCCAAGGAGATTAAGAAGAAAATAAGAAAGAAACTAAAAGAGCAGCTGACTTATTTTCCGTCAGATACTCTATTGCATGATGACAAACTGGGCAGTGAAAAAAGGAAGAAGAAGAAGAAGAAAGTCCCCGTCCCTTCGAAACCAGACCCAAGGTACTTCACATTGACAAATAGAAACACACACTAGTGTCTACTAGTTTTGAGTGACAATTAGAATTTTACAAAAAAAGTTAGTGCTATGTTTGGAAACATTGCCACTGAAGTGATAATTGTGAACCTTTATGTAATATGTTGCTATGTGCTAGAAGCTTTACAATAATTCACTCAATCTTTATGATGACCCTGTGAGGGATAGTAATGACATATCCCATTTCCCTAAGAAGTGTCATGGTGTAAGCCCCAGAGCCGGTAAGAGCTGAGCCAGAACATTGACACTGTAGCTCCAAACTGACTGCGTTTACCCACTTACACCCGCTTTTGAAATAACAGACCTGCTGAGCATGGTGGTTCATACATGTAATCCCAGCACATGGGCACCACACACACACACACACACACACACACACCCCACACACACACACACACCATACACACACACCCCACACACCATACACACACACACACACACACCATACACACCATATACTACACATATACATACACACATAATACACACACACTATACATAATTATATTAATATATATTAATAATATTATTACATATTAATAATATTAATTAATAATATTAATAATATTATTATTAATAATAATTATTAATATTAATAATAATTACTAATATAATTATAATATAATATTATATAATATATAATAATATTATTATAATTATATATATTAATATTATTATTATTAATATATAATTATATATAATAATATTATATTACTAATATATAATTATAATATTAATAATTATATACTATTATATTATTATTAATACACACACCTCTAATATATATATATAATAATTATATATTATATATTAATAATATATATATATTAATTACTTATATAATATATTATTATTAATATATTAATTATTAATAATATTATTATTAATATTATTATTAATATTATTAATTATATTATTATTAATATTATTATTATATATTATATATTATTATTATATAATTATTATATATATTATTAATATTATTATTAATTATAATATTATTATTATTAATATTATATATTATTAATATATTATTATTATATATTATTATATATTAATTATTATACATTATATAATATTATTAATTATTATTAATATTATTATTAATATTAATATATATTATTATAATATTATTATTATTATTAATTATATATTATTATTACATTATATATTATTATTATTATTATTATTATTAATATTATTATTATTATATAATATTATATATTATATAATTATATATTATAATAATAATTCTATTACACTATATAATCATTATTAATTATTACACTATTATTATTAATATTATTATACATATACATATTATATTATTATACTATTATATACTACTATTAATTATAATATTATTATTCATACATTATTACTACTATTAATATTAATACATTATTATCACACACACACACACACACACACACACACCATACACACACACACCCCACACACCATACACACACACCCCACACACCATACACACACACACACACACACATCATACACACACACACCCCACACACCATACACACACACACACACACACATACACACACACACACACACACCCCACACACCATACACACACACACCCCACACACCATACACACACACCCCACACACCATACACACACACACCATACACACACACACCCCACACACCATACACACACACACCCCACACACCATACACACACACACACACACACCATACACACACACACACACACACCATACACACACACACACACACACCATACACACACACACCCCACACACCATACACACACACACCCCACACACCATACACACACACACACACACCATACACACACACACCCCACACACCATACACACACACGAGTGACTTAGCTGAGCACCTCTGGCCTTCATGGACACTCATAAGCTTCAGTCAGGATGCTAGCCAGGCTGATGCCTCAACAGAAAGGTATAACAAGTGGGGCCCAGCTCTTCTTAGTAGGCCTCCAAAGAATTACTGGGCTTTACTGTGAGGCTGTAGGCAGGTCTCAGGTCCTGGCTGGCTTTTAGTCAAAGACACAAGTTATTTGCCATTTGGATCAATCCATTGTGAACTCACCCTGGCAGTGACTTTCTTCCCCAAATCAAAATTCCAATGGAGTAATAGCTAGACAGAAGTGAATCTTTTAAAAATAGCAGCCATTTTCCCTATATCCTTTTGGAACTGGGTGATGAGGCCCAGCAGGTACTCATAGAGAAGATTCTCAAAAGAATTGAATATGGAAAAGCAAAGAGCAGCTGAGGCCATCATAGAGGCTGCTGTCCATAGTGTACTGTAGGCTATTAGCACGTCAGTGTGGAAACAGAAAGACATTCTCACTAGAAAAGATCTTGTTTAGAAAGTTTAGCTTACTATGCCATACACGATGGTGGCACACATCTGTAACTGTTCTTTAAGAGTAGTATTTCATGACTGATAAAATAGCATAGTTTTGGGGAATAGCTACTATGAAGTATTTATCTAATCTTTTTATTTTCCAGTGCTCTTTTTCAAAAGATAATTGAATATGTTGGAAGTTTTACTTCATAAATTATGAAGTAAACAGACTCTAATAGGCCAGTTTCTGTTCCTGGCTGCTACCTCTTGCTGTTTGCATTCAGTGCAAATATATTTTAATCAAGACTTCTGAAAAATGTAGTTATGTGCCAACCTCTAGAAAACAAAAGCAATGAACTTTTACTAGAAATCAAAAGTTGTGTGGCTAAAGTTTCTTAAAAACAAACTTTGAAATTTTCTTTTGCCTTTTGATCATTGATCATTTAGTCAGCAGCAGCGTGAGGATGCTTTGAAATTCTGTGAAATACAAGTCTGTAACCATAAAATACTATTTTATTTTCCCTTTAGTTATTTGGTTTTAGACAGCATCACAATTTGTTTCCCAAGGCCAGTCTCAAATGTGCGGTCCTCATGCCTGTTCTGCTTAGTGCTGAGAGTATTCTGTGGAGTGGATAGTTTTGTTTAAGTTGGCTCTTCATCAGGTAGAAAGTATTACCTATGATTCCTAGCTTGACAGCCATTTTATTATATAAGAAAATACCAAATGGTAACATTTTAAAAAGGAAAATGATGTATAATTCTTGCTTCTATTTACCATTCACTCTGTTATAACCATGAATGATAATTATAAAATACTGCATTTGTAATGGCTCACTCTTGGGTTTTATTTGCAGTGCATCAGACGTTTGTGATAATGCAGCTGAAGATGAAGAAAAGAAAGACTGTCCCCTCAAAACTGTTACTCCAGGATCTCACCATGATGAGGAAATATGTTCAACGGAACAGAATGCAGATGACAATAAACCAGAGAATAGAAAGCCCAAACCCAAAAAGACAAAAAAGAAGACTAAAGCAGGTTTGTTACCCAAATTAAATGAAAACTATCTGCCTTTGTGGCTCTAGAAAGTTTAATTCTGAAAACTGAAGGATGTAATTTAAAATAAGTCAAGATACACTGCTTGGCGTATCTTAATTCATGTAGAGTAAGGTGTTCATTTTTTAATAACTGTGGGTCTATATGATGCTTATAGTTTCTGACTTAATTTAACTATAGAAGGGTATGATTACAAAGCTACAACCTGCTTTGTGGCATAAAAAACTAATTTTTAAACCACTGATGTTAGAACTGCAAATCGTTACCTTGGTAAATGAAAGCGAGCAATGACTTTTTGTTACCTTGAAGTTCTGTTATTAACAGAGTAAAACAATTATAGATGGTAAGATGAATTCTATGTAAATCTAATTATGAGAAGAATTATAATACTGATTTTTCTTCCCTGATTTAGTTTTGGATGATAATGAAGAGATGAATGATGATGGTGTTCATGAAATCACAAGCCGAGACAGTCCAATTTATCCCAGATGTTTGCTTGATGATGATCTTGTCATGGGAGTTTACATTCACCGAACTGATCGACTTAAATCAGATTTTATGATTTCTCACCCAATGGTAAAAATTCATGTGGTTGATGAATATACCGGTCAATATGTCAAGAAAGATGATAGGTAATTTTTAAAAAATTATACCGCTTTAAAGTTGAAATTGTCTGCAAATCCTCTTTGCTACCCTTTATGGTTGAAAGTTAGTAGTCACAGAGCTGTGGATTGGTATTATAGTTGTAGATGGTCCTCATCTTTATCAGTAGGCTTTACAGAAGAAATGGAGGAAATGCATCTATCTTGAGATAGAATCTTTCAAGCTTACTAATTAGGTCATACATTTACATTTTAAGTATTGTAAGTGTTCTTCTAATCTTTAGCCTCCCACTTTTCCTTTGAAGTTAATGTTATGTGGACCTGAGGTGCTGCAAATGTGTATTGAATAGTTTTTTTCCTAAGGTTATTTCTAGAGCAAGCACATGTTTGAAAGTCTACGTTTAAAAAAACAATAAAATAAGTCATTATTCTAATTATGCCTACTCAAAATAAGTATTTTCTTGAGAAGATATTGCAAGGAAAGCACTAAGATTATTACAAAAAAAATGAACACATCCACTTAATTAGTTGGTTAGTACAATGCAAAGAAAATAGGACACTGCAAAAGAGTTCTTTTTACAGTTTTATTTGGATTTATTATGTGTTTTATCATGAACTCATTTAAACTTCTGAAGTAGTTACTACATTTTAGCTCAGTATACTAAAGGTTATGCATACCTTTCATTTTTGTAATAAGTCATGTAGCCTGGAGAAATGAAATATGGTACAAAATCATAGTAAGACAATACTATTTTTAATTTTTTAAATAAAGTTGTAATTTCTTAGATGTTAAGGAACATTTTTTTTGCTTTTGTGTAATTATAGCTATTATTACTGTTTCTTTAATGGGCAATTATTTTTTTCTCTTCCTCTAAAAAAATGTACTGATTTGTAGTAATAGAAACTTTATCTCTGAACAGTGGACGTCCTGTTTCATCTTATTATGAAAAAGACAATGTGGACTATATTCTTCCTATTATGACCCAACCATATGACTTTAAAAAGTTAAAATCAAGACTTCCAGAGTGGGAAGAACAAATTATATTTAATGAAAATTTTCCCTATTTGCTTCGAGAGTTTGATGAGAGTCCAAAGGTCATCCTGTTCTTTGAGGTATGAATTAAAGAAAGAAAATTAAATTTTAGTAAACATTTAGTTGTACAAGATTAGGATATTGCTTTTAATAGTTTTGTAATATGATAATGTAAAAATATAGTACCTGGAATTTATTGTTGCAGTATGTTCTGTGGGTGCCAGGGAGAAGCCCTTTTAGGAATAGAGATGGTATATCCAAAGGGAAATTTCCTAAGTTCAGTAACCTATCTAAACAAGGATTCAGAAATAGGATCCCAAATGTTTAAAAATAAGAATTCAATTATTAATAAAAAAACCTGCCTCGTTTGATACCTAGGAAATGATCAAAGCCTGAGAATTTTATGCTATGATTACTTGTGTCTAAAATACTTTGAGAGAATTTTAAAAGACACAACCATGTATATCTGTGGGTTAAAAGTGTGACATTTAAGTATTTTATACAATATGTAGGAATCAAGACTGTGTTAACTGGTACAGATATTATATCTGAAGTAGTTAATGCTTTGAAATAAATCCTAATAAAAGGATTTTTTAATATCAAAAATGGACACTCAATAGTTGGATACGTTAACTTGAAAGTAAATGAGATAAATATTTTTATTCCTTTTAATATAAACTTTTAAATATTTAGATAATAATATGTCAATAGAGAATGTTAAATTTAAAGTCTAATATTCTGTGAAATAAGTTTTGAAATGTATTTGCAGATTCTTGACTTTTTAAGCATGGATGAAATTAAGAATAACTCTGAGGTTCAAAACCAAGAGTGTGGCTTTCGGAAAATTGCCTGGGCCTTCCTTAAGGTTTGTTTTCACCTGTTCTTTAATACCTTTAAAATAACAAATTCCAAATTTGATTGACTGATTTTCACCAAGTCATTTTGGTCTCAAAGAGTTGTTAACCTGTCTTAGTAAGGTTCATTAAGAGTCTGAAATAGGACTGGAGAGATGACTCAGTGGTTAAGAGCATGGTCAGCTCTTCCAGAGGACCAGGGTTCATTTCCCAACACCCACATGGCAGCTCACAACTGTCTGTAACTCCAGTTCCAGAGGATCTAGCACCCTCACACAGACACACATGCAGGTCAAACACCAATGCACATAAAATAGAGAAAAACAGAGAGAGCCAAGGTTGTTATACAGAGAAAAAAATCTGAAATACTTATTGATTACCCAGTGTGTACCTTTTATACTTATTGAGCCTGAGGATACTGTACTCAGAGACACATGCATTCCTGCCATCTTGTGTCCAATTTATGCGATATTTATTTAGCTCTTTCAATGTGCCAGTCATTGTTCAGTCATCAACCCTGAATTACTCGACCCAAAACATGGCCATGGGCTACATGGGAGCGTCTAAGCCATGATTAAGTTTTAAAGAGAATTGTAAAGTATAATATTTTAAGCAATTTATTAGAAGCTATGCATATTTATTCTGTGTTAAGTTTTGTACAGATCTTCTTTATGTTATAAATTACAATTAGAACACAGTAGATAACACAATATTGTACTTTTAACTTTTAAAGATCATATGGATCTTAATTCATCTATATTGAACCATTGTTAGAAGAAATGAAGTCTTGAGTCTACCCCTGGGCCTATAAGGAGTGTTAGACTCTATGTTTCCCATTTGTAATACTGTGTGTCTTTCCTTGATTGTAGTGTAAGCTTCACAAAGTTATCACTAATTTCTAATGGATTAATTCTTAGAGAATTTTCGATTTTATATTACATATGCTGTATATGGTTGTGTTAAATTTATTATATAATTCCCTTTGATTTTCTCATGATCACCTTCTCTCAGGCTCATGAGTTTATAAACATATGTTCACATAGCAGGCTTATCTCACATTAGTTGAAATCATCTCAGATCCCTTCCATAGTTGTACCAGTCACACTTAGCAACTTCAGTGTCTCATGGGATTGCACAAATGTAGTACACTCCCATCATCATAGGTCCTTGGAACAGCTCTACACTGAATCTTTCTTGGCTCTGTTTTCCTTTCTTTTCAAGTTGCATTAGCAATAGCAGTTACTGAGTGCCCTGCGCTCGGTGCCTGTACTTCCAGTTCTAGTCACCTGCAAACTCTAGGAACTGCCACTGAAACGCGAACTTTCTACTCCAGCTCACAAATTCACAGAGGACACAGTGCTTTCAAAGACGTTTCTTATTTAGTCCTTGTGGAGTAAAACAAAGCTTAATTTGAACTTTAGAGATTTTGTTTTGTTTTCAGAACACTCTCAGTTTATCTGCTTATCTTGTTTTGTTTAATTTGCTTTTTAAATAAACCTTTCAAAGAAGATAGACTAAAATACTGAAAATAAAGTGAATGCTTTGAATTAACTTACCTTAAAATGATTTTGTGTATACCATTTTATTCATTAAAAGTATTTATGTAGTCAGATATTAGGGAGGCTGAAGCAGGGGGTTCACAAACTCAAGACTTATTTGAGTCACAGATTTCAAGACCAGCCTGGGTAGTTTACTTTTAAAATGGAAAGGAGAAGGAAGGATAGGAACATATCTTAGTGGTAGAGCACTTGTGGGGCACATGGGAGACCCCAGTAGGTTTCATCTGCTAGAGAAAAAATACAGAAATAAGCAGAAAATGTTTGTGTTGAGTAATATGTACTTTACTCTTAATTATTTCAGACAAATGTTTGTTGATCACTTTTTCTGTAAAGAGACATATGCTACAATGATGTAAATGTTTTAGTCTGTAGTAGTTGTACAGCTGAGGAGTGCTATTAGAAAATGTCTTCAAAGTCGTTTGTCAAAATGATTTGAAAGTGCCTCCTGCTGAGTTAACCTGTTTTTTTCTTTATAAATCTAAAGAATTTCAACCTGTTTTAGTCATTTCAAACCAAACTCTGACTCTGTGATTGCTATATTGGATGTGTGTGTGCTTTCAGAAAAGATAACATTTTACACAAATTCTTATTTTAAGCTTCTGGGAGCCAATGGGAATGCAAACATCAATTCAAAACTTCGTCTGCAACTCTACTACCCACCTACTAAGCCTCGATCCCAGTTAAATGTTGTTGAGGTTTTTGAATGGTGGTCCAAGTGTCCAAGAAATCGTTATCCATCAACATTGTACGTAACTGTACGGGGACTGAAAGTTCCAGACTGTGTAAGTTAATAGTATATATAAATATATTTCCTCTATCAATCAAACTAAGGATAGCCTAATGTGTTTTCCATATTTAAAATCTAAACTCTCAAAATTATTTTAACATATTTCGGTAACAGAAAGATACCTGCCAAGACTATGCATTAAGTCTATAACAGTAGGAGATTAGATGAACTTCTAAGTTTTAAGGAGTAGACCTCACTGGTAATAAAACTGTTTGGGCATAATTTTGTATGCCAAAATGAAAATAAATGGATGAAAAGTTGGCACTGGAAAACATTTTGTTTTAAGGGGCAAAAAATAAAATGTTTTAGGCTTTGCAAGCAGATGTCAAACTATACAACCTTGTAGTATGAGAGTAGCTGTAGAGACACTAAGATGATGAAGAACACCTTAATGCGTTCTAGTACATCTTTATAGTGAACCAAATCATGCATGTCTTGATTTACATAGTTTACATTAGAGACATTCAAATAACCAGCAAATAGCATTTCTACTGCTATTGTCTATAGATGAACATTATTAATGATCTCATTCTAAATGATCCTAAGATTGAAAAGCTTTTGCTATTGTTTTTATTTATATTAATCTTTCAGGTGAGTTGTACATTCTACAGCTGGTTATACATGCTCTGAGCACAGAGTTGATTTGCATTGGTCTAAATGGAGTTAAATGAAATCTATCAGAGGGTAGATTTTTTTATTTCAGATTTTATGGTATTGGTTTTGCGATTGTTTTTTGAGCCAGCAGTATCATGTTTTATCAGAGGCATAGCATAACATTAGGTAGGTATTTATGAAGAAGCAGACACAAGGGGACAGGGCTATAAAAAGTGTTTCATGCATCTGGGTGCAGTACAAGCCTATAATCTCAGCACATAGGAAGTGGAATATAGACTGCAAAACCCACTTCAAATACATAGGAAGTTTGAGGAATCTGAGATAACATGAGACTCTATCTCAAAATCTAAAACAAATAATGGAATAATAAAGTAAAGCCATTTTTACTATTGGAATCTACTATTTTTTATCCAAACTTTTAAAGCTTTGTGATTACAGGAGAATAGTTCAAATAACATTCCATTTAGAGTAATAGATGAAAAAAAATCTGCTTCCCAAGTGCTGGGATTAAGTTGTGTACCACCGAACTCACAGAGATCCACCTGTCTCTGCTTCCCAAGTGCTGGGATCAAAGGCGTGGACCACTGAACTCACAGGGATCCACCTGCCTCTGCTTCCCAAGTGCTGGGATCAAAGGTGTGCACCACCACACTGGGCTCTGTTTCAGTACACTAAAAACAATGCTAAGAATAAAAAACAATCTTCATGACTTCTACATGATTCCCCATGGAGGAAGGAGTGGACAGATTCCCACAACTTGACCTCCGCCATAGCTTTTGCATGTATGTTGGGCCTTAGCCCCCACAGACCTCTGTGCATTACTTGTCATCTGATAGTATCCTGTTCTCTAGTCCTGGCTTACAGCCCAGGCCTCACCCACCTGAAATCAATATCTAGCACGAGGAAAATGCCTGTGCTGTAAGTCTGTATATAAGGCTGCTCACTCATTACAGCACACACACACAGGCAGACATACAGACGTGGCGCATACTCATTCTCCTGGTAAGGAAGGTGGCAGACACAATCTCTTAGCACAAACAGCTGGACATCTTGTCTTTCAGACTTGTTCGTAGCTCAGATGTTTGTGTGTGCAGGTTTAACATCTTTTCTTATTTTCTATACATACTTAGATAAAGCCATCTTACCGCTCTATGATGGCTCTTCAGGAGGAAAAAGGTACACCAGTGTATTGTGAACGCCACGGCGAGACAAGTTCAGTAGACACAGAACCTGGATTAGAAGATTCAAAGGAAGTGGTAAAGTGGAAACGCCTGCCTGGTCAGGTAAGATGTTTAATGATGCTTGCATTTGTTAATGTTCCCATTGCTGTGACAAAATACTTGAAGAGTAGTTTAAGGAAGTGAAAGTTTACTTGAATCAAACTTTCTTCACCCTTTAAGATTGACTTGACCGAGCAGGGCGTTGGTGGCACACGCCTTTAATCCCAGCACTCGGGAGGCAGAGGCAGGCGGATCTCTCTGAGTTTGAGGCCGGGCTGGACTAGCAGCCTCCAAAACAGTACAGAGAAACCCTGTCTCGTAAAACAAAAAAAAAAAACAAAAACAAAAACAAAAAAAAAAGATTGGCTTGACCGTCTGAATAATCTTTATTAGCTATATTTAGTTAATATTTACTGTCAACTGATAATAACTATCACAGGGCTATTGTGGTGAATATAGCTAAAGACTGTGTAGTGCGGTAGGGGCTCAGTGTGTGCCTTCTCATCATTCTACATAAAGAAGCGTTTTGTACCTTGGTGTGTTGAATTGGCTGGCACCACTGCTTTTCATGCTTGGTGCCACTATTAATGAAAATCAGGATCACTTGAACACAAGCACTGCAATATCATGATAGTGTGACAGCTAGCCAACTGCTGAGTACAAATGGGCCAGCAAAGTATGCAACAGTGATAGAACTAGCAAAGAGATGACTCATATCCACGGCAGGATATGGGGTGGCAGAATCCCAACATTAGAATGGGACATAGTTTTTCAAACCATAGTGACCTTGAATAAATGAAACCCCAGAAAGCAAAACTGCAGCTAAGTCAGGATGGCTCTCTGTCTTGGAGACAGCAACAATGGATGGTTATTTTAGGAGAGGAAAACTAGGAGTGACCATTTATGAATCCTGAATTTAAGCTAGGACATATATGGCATTTGTAGTTATCAAATGTTCCTTATTTAGGAAAATATGACTGCTATCATGGGATATGGAGGCAAAAAAACATACCTTTGTGCTATATGAGCAGTGTAGCAATGATAGTGTTAAAGCATTAGATATTAATTTTTCTTTGTGTTTTAGATTAGTTACATGCTAATTAGACAAAATTTTTTTATGAAAAAACAATTCTGTACTGAAAAAACTTCCTAGTTTCTCAGCATTCTATGTACTTGTGTTTCTTTTCCTATGTGTTATGGTATAGTTATGGGGGAATATTATGGCAATGGAAATTATGTCACTTTGTTTCAGTATTTTCTAACTTATGCAGTCTTAATATATCTTTTTAGGCTTGTCGTATCCCAAACAAGCATCTCTTTTCACTGAATGCTGGAGAACGAGGCTGTTTTTGTCTTGATTTCTCCCACAATGGAAGGATACTAGCTACGGCCTGTGCCAGCCGAGATGGATATCCAATTATACGTAAGAATGCCACCTGTTTCACCTGATTATTTCAGCTTTTGAGATTAACTGAACTCTTTAAGAAAACCCTAGTAAGCTGGGCGGTGGTGGCGCACGCCTTTAATCCCAGCACTCGGGAGGCAGAGGCAGGTGGATCTCTGTGAGTTCGAGGCCGGGCTGCACCGATAGCCTCCAAAACAATACAGAGAAACCCTCTCTCGTAAAAACAAAACAAAACCCTAGTAAACCAATCATATTTCTTCAAATAAAGGGACAGTTACTATATATCTATTCAGAATAAGACTGGTTGAATGAAGGATGTTTAACATACAGGTGGATTTTTGTAAACATTTGAAATATACACATTTAGTACAAGAAGGAATAATAAATCTCATAGGAAACTTTTAATTCATTATGATCTTAGTTGATATTTGTGATCCGAATTACAAAAGTGCCACAATCTGTCATGTGATAGAATTTTGACACATGACCCTGAGGTACCTTAGGAAGCTCCTGTTACAATAGGGAAGGCAGCAGAAACACCGGGGCATCTTTTTCTGCAGCTTTTGGAGATGTTAAAACAATATAATACAATTCTGGATTAGTAATCTGTTTAATCTCAGCAGTGGCATTAGCTCTCCTTGACTGGAAGAAGCCAGCTCTTCACGGCATCTGCCCTGATCACTAGGTCACACTGGACCTAACCCAGCTTTACACTGCTAGTGGGATTCATGATAAATGTTCCAACATACCAATAGTCATTTTTCTCATTTGTATAATGGTCTGTGTGCTTTAGGCTTTTCTGTGTTTAATGTTCTGTGCTTAAACAATTACAGATTTAGATCTATTTACTTAAATATCAAAAAATAAGGATCATCGCCTCTGGATTTGCACTGTTTGTGTACACCTAAGAAATCACTCAGCTTACTCAATGTGCAGAAAGTTTGGAAGTAGTCATTTACTGTTTCTCCAGATGTTTTCTCCCTTTCTTGTTCTTCTAGCCTGTTGAATCTGATACTTATTTTTCTTTGTTCCTTAAACTGGATAGTCTCAGATGACCTGTCCAGTTTATTGATTCCTCTACCCGTTCAACTTTGTTGTTGAGCCGTTCTCTTGAATTTATTTCAGTGATTATGCTCAACTCCAAAATTTGTTTCAGGTCCATCCTTGGCATTTCTATTTACTGATCTTTTTTTGAGTCACTATCTTTAATTCTTCAGGTTTTCTTTAGGCCTTTGACCATACTGATAATGATAGGTTTAAAGATCTTGCTAAGATCAGAACTGGGCTTCCTTGGTTGCCATATGGACAGTTTCTGCTAACTGCTTTTTCTTCCTGTGTGTAGCTATACTTTCCTGTTTGCATTTTTCCATATCACAACTTTATGTTGAACTTGTATTAGTAGCAATGTAGTGCAGAGTAGCTGTTCCCTTATTCTCCCATCAACCACCTAAGATTTGTTATTGCTTCTGGTTGTGCAGTTGAATCTCCTAGATGAATTCTGTAAAGAGTTTATTCTCTGCTATCTTGTCAATCCTTTGTAGACCGTACCCGGTCAGGTGGTTGGTATTAATACTTTATATGGGTGTGATCCTGCCCTGTCCCAGGGACCGCTATTCTGGGGTATTCTCTCAGTGCTTAAGCACACAGATTTAAAAGTCCCCGAGGCTTACCTTCCTGTTTGTGCTGACCTCTTCGTGTCGCCCACATCAAGATGAAGACTCCCAGGTTTTTCTCGGTTATGCATGTAACCTTTGCTTGCATGTCTGGGGAACTTAGATTCTCAGCAATATTCTGAAGCTGTCCATAGTTCCCCGTAGCCTTCCCACCCCTGGTTCTGCTTGTCTCTAGAATTTGTGTTCTCTAGTGAGCCGCTTCTCTCCAGGTGGTATCAACCTCTTAAGCAACCACGACCTTAAATGGTGCCACTGGTGCCTTATGCACACCTGCATGGGATGATTACATAAAGCCTGCAGTCTGTTAAATTAGCCTTGAGCCTACTTTGGTTATGAGAGGTCATTAAGTAGGAAGAAGTCTTTGGAACTGGAGTTTTTAGGGAGCTTCAGACCTCCTCATCATTGAGTGGCTTCTGATTTTCATTGTCTTTTAAGGTTTCTTTAGTGTTTAGGAAAGGGGAATTGGATATAACTACCCACAGCTCAATGTTCTTACTGAGATTCAGCCGTTTTCTCTTAAGTGTTCCTCTAGCTCTCCCAAGCCTTGCAGAGTTAATTCTCAGAGTTCCGTAACAGCTTTTGAGAACTCTTGCCAGTCTTATTCCTTTTACAGGGGAATAGATTACCCAAAGTCCTGATGTGTTCTCTTGGTTCTGAACTGCTTAGAAGTCAGGATGGTTGACTCACCACTAGGTGGGAGTAGAGACTTGGACACTGGTCTGTATTAAGTACTCAGTTGAGACTTCCTTTAGTGTCAGCCCTAAAATACCTTTCTTTGTTCAACTCATTTGCTGCTATTCCATTATGCTGTCATTAAATATTAGAATTTTTTGATAGTTTACCTGTTTCATTACATCCAAAGAATTTAATTAATTTTAGAGGCAAATACCTTATTCATGGAACCCTAAATTGTAAAGTATTTAATATCTGCATTGCAATTCACTTTATACTTTCTACTAATTGATTATCAAAAGTTCTTTGGGGGCTCTGGCAATATGAGTTATTGATAGCATATTAAAGAATATTGTCAAAATTTAGCTTATATAAAATTAAACTCTCGGGAGTAAAGCAGTTGTCAAAATTTAGCATACATATAATTATATGTAAACTCTTGGGATCAACTGAACAATTCTTGTATATTTTCAGATTGTGTGAATATTACAAATATTGTGGCTTTATTTTACAGACAGTGCTTAATTTCTTAATTACTGTAAATTGTGTATTGCATATTTGTTGAATTAAATATCTCCTAGACATTTAATTTCTAAATGTTTTTTTAGTATATGAAATTCCTTCTGGACGTTTCATGAGAGAACTGTGTGGCCACCTCAATATCATTTATGATCTAGACTGGTCAAAGGATGATCGCTATCTGGTTACTGCATCATCCGACGGCACTGCCAGGTTAGTACACATTCAAGAAGTACTTACTGTGCGTGTTTGCCATCAAGAAAAGCTAAGATGCCTCTGACCATCATTGCTCTATATCATGCATCCTGACTGATTAAACAGCAGTGAAACTTGACTGTCTTTTATTTGTTTAATGTATATCATTTTCTGGGCCTTGCTGTTAAATGATATGTAAACTGCTAATTAATATCTTGCAAGAAGTGTTAGAATCCTCACTTATAGTATAGGACAAATCTCTTCATTGTAGGCCAGGTATACGGGCTTGAATCCATTGGTATTCAGTAGGTAGGTGTAAACCAGGTAAATGACTCGGTTATGCACTTGGAACTTTATGGGTTGTTAAACATTTACATTTTCATGAAGCCAGTTTAAGTTATCCCCTTCCAATTTCATATGTATCGCAATACAATTTACTGTCTGATCACAACTTTTTGTTCACAGTCTCACTTGTAGCCCAGGCTGACCTCAGATGTGCAGTCTTTCCTCTGTAGCCCCCTTCCTATGTGCAGGGATTACAGGCCTGGCCATCCCCAACTGGCTCAATAGAATATTTCAGAAGCTGACTTTTAAGCTTTGTATCATTTAGCTTGTTTAACCTGGAATATTCATATTCTAAAAAAGGTTTTCAAGATTCGTAATTTATATTAGGTAGACACGTTCTCTACTGCCTGGGAAACTGTTCCCGCAATCATTTTGAGACCCACACTAACTACGTTCTTTCTCTGCCTCCTGACCTTGTTTAATAACCATATGATTTCTTGTGCCTAAGCTCCTTCTACTACTGACCTTAATCACCTTCCCTTTCTATGTAAAATGACTGATCAATCTGTCACTATTGTTTAATTTATGTTTAAGTAAAGAGTAATAATGGCAGTTTACTTCCCTCCATTAATCTGGCGAACTTATTACTCCCTTAAATGTACTAAAAATATGAACTGGCTTACTCTTTTAGCACAGCCATTGTATGTGGAGGTAGGTGATAGTATTAGACAAAAGGTCTGAGTTTGCTGAGACGTGACAAAAGGTTTTAAGTTGTGAGTCACCTGAGCATCCATCCCTGCTGAGTCATCTTTCAGTCTTTCAGTTCCTTTTTCTCGTGCACTGGCAGCAGACTCGGATGCTAGGTGCATCAGTTTCATTAGCCTTAATCTTTCATTTGCTGACTTCAATTTATGATAGTTTCACTGGATGTATGGATTGTCTCCATAATATCCATAAAGGGGCCTATCTTTATCTCCATGCCTCTCATGAAGCAGCATGGGCATGGACTCCTTGATCAACTAAAATCCAGAGTGCTGGTAAAGATAACTAGGCTGAAAACCTGAGGTATCTAGGACCCACATAGTGGAAGGGCACAACCAACACATACGCCTTGTCCCCTTCACATGTGTGCAGTGGCACACGCATAGATCCCCGACATACACACAATGTAATTTTTAAACTTTTAAATCAACTAAGATTTCACCATGAGTATCCACATATAACGTCGCCCATTATGTTTTGCTCTGAGTAGCTTTAAAATTGACACGAATTCGAACTATAAACAATAGTTTTGTGAAAGCATTGAGTGAAGGGAAAAGCACTTACATCTAGGACTAAAATGATAAAGAGGCCTTTGAGAGATAGAATGTTGGTAATGAGTGATAGCCAAAGAAAGTTAGTAGGGTTGATAATGCTCACAAGTGGCAGGTTGTGGATTTTCTGCCTCTGACTTCTGCACTGATTTCCTGAAACCATTCTCACGTGTTTTTATTGGTTTTCCCCAGGTAACTATTTTTGACCTGCTAGCTCCTTGCCATATGGCTTTAGCTTATTTTCTCCTTTACTTGTTCCCAGCATATTCTGGTTTTTCCCAAATCAGCAGCTTCTAACAAACAAAACTGTATGCAACAGCTCTGCAATAGGCTCCCATGCAACCTTCTTTTGCATGTACTTTTTCTTTTCCATCTTTGTATTTTCATCTACTCTTTAATAATTTGTGTCTCCTTGTTCTTTATGAATGGCTTGCAAACCATTAATACATCTCTTTTGATGTTGGAGGTCTACCCTTACCTAAAAACAGTTCAGTTTTTCCACAAAAAGCTTCATTTAAAATACATACAAGCCAGGCAGTGGTGGCATATGCTTTTAATCCCAGCACTTGAGAGGGAGGCATAGGCAGGCAAATCTTTGAGTTCGAGGCCAACCTGGTCTACAAAACTACAGAGAAACCCTGTCTGGAAAAACAAATAATACATATATAGTATTTGAGTCATTTTGAAGGTCTTCATTGCAGTCTCATGTATAGTATGTCAAATAGCACCAAGATTAGCAATCAAATGAGGATTTTGCTTTTTATCTATGATAACATTCCTTTCAAATTGGTAATTTTGTTATTTTTGTATCAATTCTGTCACGTAGCGTATGTTCATTGAAATTTGCTTTTTTCAATAAAATGTTATGGCAGTGATATGTATGCTTTATTTTCATTTGAACATTTTTTATCCCTTAGTTTGTCCTTTAAGTAATTAAAATATATTCAGCTGCTGAGAAAATGCAAAATGTATCTGCTGACTAGCTGTCTGGTTTTTTGGTTTGTTTTTTTTTTTTTCTGAGGCAGGGTTTCTCTGTGGCTTTGGAGACTGTTCTGGAACTAGGTCTTGAAGACCAGGCTGATCTCGAGCTCAGATCTGCCTGCCTCTGCCTCCCAAGTACTAGGATTAGAGGCATGTGCCACCACTGCCCGGCTTGTATTTTTTTTATTTGTAACTTGATACATATGTTTTAGGCAGCATTTTAAAAATCAACTGTAAATTCCCAATACAAATCCAGGTGGTGGCGGCACACACCTTTAATTCCAGCAATCAGGAGGCAGAGGCAGGTGATTTCTGTGAGTTCAAGGCCAGTCTGATCTAAAGAGTGAATTCCAAGACAGGCTCCAAAGCTACACAGAGAAAACCTGTCTCAAACAAAAAATATAAAATACAATTCCAAATACAAATACATTCTTTTTTCTAGGCAGTGGTGGTGCATGCCTTTAATCCCAGCACTTGGGAGGCAGAAGTAGGCAGATCTGAGTTTGAGGCTAGCCTGGTTGAGATAGTTCCAGGACAGCCTCCAAAGCTATAGAAAAACCCTGTAATAACTAATACTCATAGAACTACTTATATATTAATAGGTTTTGCCTGTCTTACATCCATACTCACATTTGGAAAACAAATGGAGTGGTAAGCATAAAAGTACTGCTTATTATGAGCTTGTTCTGTCAAAATAAGTTATCTTAATCAAATAGATCAGGAAATGACCAGTTGATAGATAAAGTGCTTGCATACAAGGACCTGAGTTTAAATCCCCAAGACCCATGCCCAAAAGCTAGGCACAGCAGCACACATCTGTAATAACAAGACAGAAGGATCCCTGGAGTTTTCTGGATAGCCTGTCTAGCCAATCAGTGAGCAGCTGTCTCAAAGTTAGGTTCAGAAATGATAGAGGAAGACACTGTCAAGCTGTGGCCTCTACATGTGTCAAAAGGCACACAGTATAAACATTTAAAAATTATTGATCCTAAACACTTAATCATATGTATATTTAGGCTTTGAAATACAACTTAAAAAGTTACTCTAATTCTCTTGGCCTAAACTAGGAAGCATTTTCAGAGACAATACATACAATGGAAAAGTCATTAAAAAGTTTCTTCCTAGCTTCTAAAATCCATTGGTGTATTTATATATGTATTTGTGTTTGAGTTGTTTTGCCTGAATGTGTGTATGTATACCTCATATAGGCCAGGTTCCTGCAGAGGTCAGAAGAAGGTGTCTTAGATCTACTGGAACTAGAATTTCAGATGGTCATGAGTCACCCACCATATGGGCTCTGGGATAACCTGGATCTTAAGGGCTGCCAGTACTCTGAGCCATCTCTTTAGTCCTCTTCCCTACTTGCTGTTTTTGGTTTTTGGTTTTCCAAGGCAGGGTTTCTGTGTAGCCCTAGCTGCTCTTCCCTACCTTTGTTTTTCCGGACAGTTTCTCTGTGTAGCTTTGGAGGCTGTCCTGGAACTTGCTCTGTAGATCAGGCTGGCCTCGAACTCAGAGATCTGCCTGACTCTGCCTCCCAAGTGCTGGGACTAAAGGTGTGTGCCACCAACACCTGGCTTCTGCATGTTGTGGTAAGTGTTTGACCAGCTATTCAGTGTATATTCAGTGTCAACACTGGTTATAAATACAGATTATTTCCAAGTGCAAATAAGACTTTAAATTTCATGACAAATGGCTCTGTAAAAAAAAAAGAAATAATCCAATATGTGGTCATTATCATGTTTTGTTATAGATATTAACTTATGTAAGTGTATTATTGTTTGATATTTGCTTACCTAAGTTTTATTGGCTATACTCTAGACAGTTAAAAACAATTTTGAATTTCAAGCAGTCTGTTACTTATCCTTTTCCTAGGGTTTGGAAGAATGAAATAAACAGTACAAGTACATTTCGAGTCTTACCTCATCCTTCTTTTGTCTACACGGCTAAGTTCCATCCAACTACTCAAAATCTGGTGGTTACAGGATGCTATGATTCTATCGTAAGAGTATGGATACTTGATTCGAAAGACGATGGTATCCTATTAGTCCGCCAGCTTGATGCTCACAAGAGTTTTGTCAACTCTATCTGTTTTGATGAGGAAGGTATGTCACACAATATGCTCTAAGTCAAGATAGCTACTTAAGGAGAAAAACTTCCTTTCACTAATAGTTGATACTTGAGAGATTCTTGTATTATTGATGTTTGTGAATAAAGTTATGCTTAGTTTCAAGTAACAGGGTAGACATTAAAGGTATTCTGGTTATAACTTTAAACTTAAGTTCCTAATACTTACATTTTTTTCTTAACCTTCCTGTATTGAATTTCATAAATACATCTGCATCAATGACTATTTTTAGTAATTGCCTTTTATAACCTTTTAAAATTATGTGATACAAATAAGAGATAGGAGAAATCACAAAAGAATGTAAATATGCATGCTAAACATCAACAGGATTTAACACATAAAAAAGGGAATTTGCAGATAATTAAAGGTTCCCAGCATTTGAATATAAATTTTAAAAAATAACATAGGTTTTTATTTTATTGGAAAGAATAAATCCATTGTCTCTTCAGTTTTATATCATTTCAGGTTATAATTATCTAAAGTAATACTCAGAGAAAAATACTGCCGCAGTATACTCAGTTCAGCTTTAGAGTTTCCAATAAACTACAACTTTGGTTTTGCTCAGAATTAAAAAGTACATCTAACACATAGCAGTATTCACCAGTTGAATAAGCTATTTGTAAAGTATTAAATCACAGTGCTAAACAGCCATGTTTGTTAGCGATGATGTGTAATGTATTCCTTCCTGCATGACCGTGATGTTGAACCTATGTTTTGAGTCCCATTCAGTTTTTAAGGACTGATACTAACACTTGTTGTTGTGATTTTGTTCTATGATCATTTTAATGGTCACCAGAATCGTTAATAGTGTATATGAGAACAGGTATTTTTCTAGGACTACAAAAGATTTCATAGGCTAATAAATACAGATATATGTTGGGCAATTCAAGTAACTCGGAATGATTATGAGTGCTACACATGTAGATTACATTGCTTGTTTCTAAATGACAAAAGGAGAAGTTATCAAAAATGCTTTTTAAAAGTGAGAATTTTTCTTAAAGGTAATTGGTATTATCGTGTGAGCTGGATTTGCTTTTTAACTTTTAAGCTGAAAAGCCTTTCGTTGGCAATTCAGTGCTTTAACTGTTGGCCTGGCCTATGTTTCTCCCAACTTCACACCATTTTCCTCACTTCCGTGGCATTGTTGTTACTAGGTTATCACATGTATTCAGGAGACTGCATCGGGGTGATTGTTGTTTGGGACACTTATGTGAAAGTGACCGATCTGCACCACTCAGTGCGCCACTGGACAATAAATAAGGTACAGAACCATTTCATAACTTAAGTTTCATGAAGGGAATTGGGGAGAATCAGTCAAGGACTTTAGAAGATCATGAGGACATCTTTGTCTGTCCCTTAAATTAAGCTTCTCTTAGTCCAAAAGCCAATTGTCCTATCTTCCTAGCTAAAGTGACAGTTACTGACTATTGACATTTTTCTAATACTTGATATCAGTTTAGTGAAGATTTTTATTCGGGTCACACTTTAGTCTATGTTCAGGACCTGGCATATTCTAGGTAATGACTCTCCCACTAAGTTACAACCTCATCCCATTTGTTGTCTTTTAAGGTCTAATCTGCAGCATGGCATTAGCCGAAATTCTTGTTAAAATAAGGCATATAACTGACAGCTAATTTTCTGTTTTGGTAGCCTGTTTTCTAAGAACTGTCACTAAGAACAGCATTAGTGCTTTCAGAGAAATGTAACTATGGTAGGAGTCCGTCACTTAATCACAATAATTGCTTCATTTGAAACTTGCTAAAGATGAAAACAAGGGAATGTGTTCCTGGTAGAAATAAGGAAGTGCATTCCTTTTGATTAAAAACAAATGTATTAAACTTGAGCTTACATTTTGCTATGGGTTGTTGTAGTTTCTACCTGTTGCATATTTTCCTTCATTTTTTAATGAATTTTGACAATAGATATCATCATGTTTGGAAAAAGTTCTGTGAATTTCAGTTAGACTCACGATCTATCGAGAATATTCTGTCTTCTCATCCGATCTGTCGGATTAACAGGTGACCTTAAGACTCATGTACCCTGATTTCATACATTTTAAAAAGAATTTTCTAATTACATGAACACTTACTGAACTGTTGTCTATAGACACCAATTTCAATCATTCAGTTTACAATGTAGAATTAGTTATTGGCTTTAAAGTTCTTGTGTTTCTTTGCCTTAATACAATATCTTAAACAGTGTTAACTTATAGTATTAACAGTATTTAAAACCTTAAAACAGGTGCCTTAAACCTAGATGCCTGTTTACCTTGAATCTGCATGTTAGCATTGAAACGGTCAGAACTAAAAGCAGGAAATTTTAGCAGCGAAATGCACCAGGCAAACTGAAGACTGATTTCCTACTTAACTGTGTCCTGCCAGCAGTATGGGGATTGCTGAGGTAACTCACTTATCTGCCCCCTAAGAATGAAGTGGCCATGTGCAGATGCTTAGCTAGCTCTACAGACTCCAAAACACGGACATTTTAGTTTGAGCATGAATATGGTACAGAAAAATTTGAAAGACTTGGTTTCTCAGATTCCTGCCCAACACTGGTTCTGTTTTTGATTTTGCATCTCCTCTAGTTGCTCAAGTCTTCTTTGGGGTTTTCATCTCACGTTACCCTTTAGCTCACTCAGCTTCATCTGTGGTATTTTACTGTTCTGTGCAGTGGTGGCTCAAGCCTTTAATCCTAGCACTCGGGAGGCAGGGGCAGGTGAATCTGAGTTCAAGGCCAGCCTGGCCTACAGAGCAAGTTTCAGGAGAGCCAGGACTGTTTCACAGAGAAACCCTGTCTCGAAAAACAAAACAGAGTTGATAACTCTTATTAGAGTTGGACGGCAGCAGGGATTCAGCCGCTAATCTTAGGGCAGCAGCAGTTTGCCCAACTGCCACTTGAGTGTAGCCCCCTCGCTGAGAGGAAAACCTCTAGGTGAAAAATACAAAGCTCAAGTGAGAAGGCTGATTCTGAATTCTGCCCCAGGTTAAGGGACTTTCCTTGAACTCTTGGATTTTAACCAAGTTAGTTGGGGAGTGACTGTTCTGGTTAGCCTGGCTGCTAGCATCGCTGACACCCAAGCTATTTTCCATTTGCAGTTTTCTTCCTGTGGCAATACCAAGAAAGATCTTTGGTAATCATTTTTAAAATTTTTTTACTCTATACATTAAAGGTTATAGTACAGTTATGAGAGTGCACATAGTAAATTTGTTACTATAGTGAATCAAAGTAACCACGTTACCTTGCTCTTCCAGTTCCTTATGGAGAGAAGTTAAAATCTACACATTTTGTATGATTCAGTACAATTTCATTGCATGTAGACTTTGTATTGCAAACTTAATAACCAGAGTTGTTCACCATACAGTGTCTTGACCTAAAGCTTCCTGGACCTAAAGCTTCCTGCTGTTTCTCTATAACTCAGGTTCTTATATATTTGGGGGCTTTTGTTTGTTTGTTTCTTTTTTTTTTTTTTAGATTCCACATATGATTGAGACTCCGCGGTACTTGCAATATTTTTCACATGGTGTCTGACTTATTTCTTCCAGGCTCATCCTTGTTGTGGCAAATAAAATCTTTTTGTTGGGATGAATACTAGAGGGGAGAAAATGGATGGGGGATGGATGGATAGTTAATGTCTAGTGATATTGAACATCTGGTTATGTATTTTCAGCCATTTTTATGCCCTTTGTGGAGATATGTCTATTCAGTTCTTTTGCCCATCTTTTTTATCCAAGTCATTTGTTTTCCTGGCACTGAATTTGTGTTAGAGGATTAATCTCTTATCAGGTAGATAATTCACAAATTTTCCTAGTGTGTGCCTGTAGTCCATTGTGCTGTTGCGTATTCCCACAGTACACCTGCCTTTTAGTTTAATGGAGTCCCATTACTTTTGTTGATCTACATTTTGGTATTGACTTTCCCCCAACAATAACCCCCCCAAAAAATATCGCCAAGGCCAATGCTCATATTTTATTCACTGTAAGTTGGTTTTATTGTGTGTAAGGGTAGTTCTTATACAAGGCTTGGGAAGATTGGTATCCTATATGACGTTGTGAGTTGGGTTTCATCATTAGCTACAACAAGTAACTGAGGAAGAGGTAGAAGAAAGGATAGTCAAAGTATCTGCAAAATGATTGTAATCTAAGCCGAACGATGCAAATACTTTGCCTGCAGCATGCTTATGAAAAGTGGAAGTTTTTTGGGAAAGAGTCAAAATCTAACTAAAACTTCTAAGTCAGTTTTTAATTTATAAAATATTGAAGTTTTCCTGTCCATATCAAGTAAGAAGTTGTATATGAAGTACTCTTGCTAGTACTGACTGTATTTGAGAAAGTGGATAACATACAAAACACATACCTAACTATAGTACTATATAACACAAATAGTACAGTTTGTCACTTTTATTGGAGTTGCTAAAAATCCTTGTTGCTAATAACTTTAAAATACTCAGTGCAGTATTGAATTTTTGGTTAATTTTCTTTATTTTGAAACTTTATGGCCTCAAACTCAGGCAAACCTGCTTCAATCTACCAAGTGCTACTATTATATGGGTAAGGTACTATTCTCAGCTGGAAATGACATTTTAAAATCCTGTCCTTTATAAGCGAACATTTTGGTAGCAATAGTTTGACTTTTTTTTTTCTGTCGTTCTAGGAAATTAAGGAAACTGAGTTCAGGGGAGTTCCAATAAGTTATCTAGAGGTTCATCCCAATGGAAAACGTTTATTAATCCACACCAAAGACAGTACATTGAGGATCATGGATCTGCGGATGTAAGTGTTTTTAGTAGTAACAGGATAAGTACTTCAATTTGGTTCCTCTGTTTATAAAACGCAGCAGTATTTTTGAGTCAACAGTTTTGTGTAATGGGGGCATCTGTAGAGATTTTTGTGTGTTTTTCTTCTATCTAATGGGTAAAAGTCAGATGTTAAGCTTACTGTGGTGGTCTTTTCACAATGAAAAGCAGAAACTCATATCAATAGTGGGATATCTGTTGCTTCTATTGATGCTACTTAGGTTATAAGACTAACTGAGGAGAATGATACATTAACTTAAACAAAGGAAAAGGATAGAAAACACCTTGATATAAAGGACAAATGGAGTTTGGCAGAAACAGTATGAATGACTGGTGTATTTTTTTGGTGGTGGTGGTGGTGGTGGTGTTAGAATTCCATGTGAAACAAGCAAGAGGCCAATGCTCATATTTTATTTTATGGGTTTCTTATTGTATTTAGAAATTCACATGTCAGCAGGGGGGGGTGGTAGTGCATGCCTTTAATCCTAGCACTTGGGAGGCAAAGGCAGGCTGATCTGAGTTCAAGGCCAGCCTGCTTGCTCTACAAAGCTACACAGAGAAACCCTGTCTCAAAGATTTAATCCCGCATGTATCATCTTAGTGCTGTTAACCCTTCAGTGTTCAAATGTAATAGCTCAAGACTCCAGCATAGGTGCTGTGGGAAATTGACAGCAGAATTACTACATCTGAAGTTTATAATCTAGTCATTACCTTTCACATTTTAACAAACATTTAGACTAAAACTTGATCTGGAGCTGGGCATGGTGGAAGCTGAGGAGGGAGATCTGAGTCCTAGGCCAGCCTGGTCTTACATAGCAAGTTCCAGGACAAGCCAGGGCTACACAGAGAAACACTATATCAAAAAACAGAAAACCAAACAAAAACTTTGATCTAGTTTTGGATTCTGAATATTCCTTCTTGTATACACAGAAACCATGGCATGCAAGATAAGCCAGCTCTCAATATGTAATTATATCATACATTTATATTATTTATGTTACAGCCACAACAAAGGTCCCAAATAAACACACAGGAGGCTGTATTAATTATGAAGCTGTTGGCCTTGCTTGTTTCTTACTGGCTAGCTCTGACTTAAGTAATTCTCCCCATAATTGTTAATCTAAGTATTTCTCTTACCAGAGAATAGTTCCGGGCTTCCTACCCCGTGGCATTGCATCTTGACTCTCTGTGTTTCTCCTACCCAGAGTCCTCCTGGACTCCTAGTCCCACCTATCTAACTTCCCTATTGGCCAACAGTACTTTATTGACATAATCACAGGACTTCCCCCATCAATAGCCTTTTTACTAAAGTCTCTGTTGAAAGACTAGCATTTGAATTCAGTCTTGAAGGATGGATAGACTTTGGATAAGATGGAGGGTTTTCAGTAGGGTAGACAGTGAAACAAAGTGAAGACTGGTGTATGTGCTCAAGGCACATGGTTAGCCTGAGCAGAGGTTTCTTGACAAGGAATACTAACAGGGAACATCTTTAGAAATAGAAACCAGGAGGCCAAGTTACTCTTTTTAAGCCCTATAACATTGTACCTGGGTTCACAGGCAAGCTGCGCTTAGAGTCAAATACTACATTTTCTTCCCCTTTTTTCTCATATGGGAGAAATAATGTATCATACTGTTAAGAGAAGCTTTCCTTGCTAGCTGCTTTGGTTTATCCCCTGCCAGCCGCCTGGGCTCTGCCGCATTGTAGTCCCCAAATAAACACACAAGACGCTGTATTAATTATGAAGCTGTTGGCCTTGCTTGTTTCTTACTGGCTAGCTCTGACTTAAGTAATTACCCCATAATTGTTAATCTAAGTATGTCTCTTACCGGAGAAGTTTCCGGGCTTCCTACCCCGTGGCATCACATCTCGAACTCTCTTGTGCTTCTTCTTCCCAGAATCCTCCTGGACTCCTAGCCCCACCTATCTAGATTCCTATTGGCCAGCAGTAATTTATTGACATATACACAGGACTTCCCCAACATCTCCTCTTTTATGTTTAAACAAAAAGAAAGGTCTTAACTTTAACATAGTCAAATTGTATATGACAGAACAGTTATCAAGTAAGAACACAGTTACAACATTTTGTCTATTAACATTTAGCAAGATCTAAAGAAAATATCATCCATCCCATCCTTGTGAGTCCAAAGTCCTATATGTAGCTTATCTTTTATCATAACTAAGGAAAACTATAATTATAGCTATCTGTCTTCAACTCCATCAAAGACCACAGAAGGATAATATATAAGCACTAGGATTGACAAAGATATCTTACTGCCTGGACAGTCACCTGAAGTTCCTCTGTAACGTTGGGGCATCCATCTTCAGCCCGTAGGCCACAGTGTGTCTGGAACACTTCTCAGCAAAGCAGGAAATTTCAAACTGTCCATCTGCATTGGCAGTCTGTCAGTCATTTCTCTGTGTCCTGCAGAAAGTCTCGTAGACTCTTCATGAAGCAGAAACCCTGTAAGACTGAGTTCAGCAGTCACTTTCCTGTGGGTCCTGCATGTCCAGATTGTACAGCAACAGTCAAACAGTCTAGGCAAGAGCAGTTTCTTGCCCAAATGGCTAATCTTGCCATGTTGAAAGCAAACTCCATAACAAGTTTCTTCGATGCCCATCTTCCTCTCAGACGTAATTGGTGCTGCCAGGAGCAGACATTTCTCATTGTCAAGAAAAACCCTAAACCATTTTAAATGCCATTTTCTGAAGGTCTTTGAGAGGTTTGAAGACTGTTTATGTCAAATATATTTCTGTATATCTAGAAAACCTAACTTACCTAACTATAAATTCTATTATAAGTAACTATCTATAGTCTGTATTCAATTATGCATTACGTTTTAAAAGATCAGTATAAGCACAATACTTAATCAAGAGGAGAAATATACATATCACAAAATTGACCTTGAATTTGTATCAATAAATGAAAAACAATACACATACCATATCATACCCATTAGGTTTTGTGGAGAAATGAGTGAGTTAATAGTGTTTACCACCATTAAAAACACACTTCAAGTACTGCAGAAATGTTCACTCAGTAACCAAGGAGTGGAGATTTAAATTGAGGGTGTTAATGCCGGGCAGTGGTGGCGCACGCTTTTAATCCCAGCACTCGGGAGGCAGAGGCAGGCGGATCTCTGAGTTCGAGGCCGGGCTGGACCGATAGCCTCCAAAACAATACAGAGAAACCCTGTCTCGTAAAAACCAAAAAAAAAAAACAAAAACAAATTTGAGGGTGTTAAAAATGTGTACATGTACAGCAAGGTTGTTACGGAGCCAATGTCCATGGTAGGAGAAAGCAAGAACCCCATACTAATTGTCCAATAGAACTTTTTTTTCAGGTACATTGAGACGTGACGTAAGTCCTTAAGAATAATAATGCAGTCAGTGTTATCTGACACACTGAGCACTGAAACAATGTCAGCTGTTGATCTAAGTAAATGTCTAGATAGTATTTCTCCTTATTGGAACTCAGCAAGGGAAAGAAATGCATCGCATAAACTAGAAAGGACCATGAAAACTCTTGTCTGTTGAGACTTCATTACAGAATGCCTACCATATCAGAGACCCTGAAAATGGCTTACTAATGCAAATGCAATATTTACAAAGAACATTTCTCTGCCACTAGTCCTTAAGTGGTTAAGATTATATTTGCACATTTTGCTTGTTTAGACTAGCAGCCAGGAAATTTGTTGGTGCCGCAAATTACCGGGAGAAGATTCATAGTACTCTAACACCTTGCGGGTCTTTCCTGTTTTCTGGGAGTGAGGACGGAATAGTGTATGTCTGGAACCCAGAGACAGGTAAGTATTTATCTTGAAAAATGGGGAGTGGGGATAGGAAGTTCCAAGTATGTAAATACCATGGTTTTTTATATTAAGAAAAATCTGAGTTCATATTTTAAGCTTGACATGTATTTTAAAATCAGATATCATATTACCTTTCTTGTCACTGTAACAAAATCCCTGACAAGCAATGTAAGGAGGGAATGGAGTTTTTAGCTCACAGTTACAGGGATATAACTGTTAAGGTGAGGAAAGCATAATGGTAGGAACAGGGGGCTGCTGCTCACATTAGCAAGTTGGAAGCAGAGAGTGGGGGCTGAGAAAATAGCTCAGTAAATAAGTGAGTTTGAATCCCCAGAAACGATGCAAACCCAGAAACAGTGACACCTACCTGTATCCCAGCATTTTTCTTGAAAAATGGGAGGCAGAGATAGAAAACATAGCAGAAGCTCTTGGACCAGCTAGCCTGGCCTCTGAAGAGGCAAGTAAGACTGTCTCAAATAATATATACGGTGAGGACAGACACACACAGAAGCTGACTAGTAACAGGAAAATAGGACTACCAAATACTTCAAGGCTTACCCTTGATAATCCACCTCATCCACCTAAACATTTCAGAACCTTCAGAAACAGTATCTGCTGGGGGCCAAGTACTCAAGAATTCAAACACATGAGCCCACAGAAGACATTTTTATCAGACCACAACACATAGCTTTTGATTCAATTCCCTTGTATTCTAAATGTATTCTGGATTGCTTTAATGTCATTGTAAATTCATAGTGTCACATTATAAATCATACTTATTCTCTGATAAGTATTTTATGAATACTGTAAATATAAAGCACAAAACACTACGCGGAGTTGTAACCAGGTAGATGGGTGGGTAAACATTAATTAACTTGATAACAAGAACATTTCTGTGGACATTTCTGATGCCTTTTGGCTTCTGACTTCCTAGGTTTCAGTGACTTCTGTTTGTGGCATCTTCTAGCTCTAATCATAAAACCTTTCAGGCAGTTAAGACCTCAGCCTCCAGGAGAGAAACAGAACAGGAAAACTGAGCTCTTGCCAATTCTGCCCTCTCTAGGGAATTTCTTCACTTACATAGTTTTATAATCCCTCCCTAGTTTTGCCAAGTTTTTCTTGCATTTATCATACTTTTCTGGATCATACATGCCAGTTTCCATCAAAACATTTCACGTGTTGCCCAAAACATTGAAAAGCCTGGGTTAGAATGCAGAAAGAATCCAATAAAATGCAAAATAGATAATTACTCATCATAGTGGTACTCAAATACCCAGAAGCATGTGAGGTTTTCATGTAAATGTGAGCTTCATGCTATATTTTCAAGTAAGATACAGATTAATCTTAACATGAGAAATATGTGACATAGTACAAGTTGTTGCATTTCTTTTTTTCTTTAGGAGAACAAGTAGCCATGTATTCAGACCTGCCATTCAAGTCAACTATTCGAGACATATCTTACCATCCATTTGAAAATATGGTTGCATTTTGTGCATTTGGGCAGAGTGAGCCGGTTCTTCTCTATGTTTATGATTTCCATGGCAAGTACACTGCTTAATGTAAATGAAGTAATGCTTTCACTTATAATGAACCAGATATATATAATGGACCAGCACTATAAAATTAACAATACTTTCAGTTACCATAGTCTTCTTGATTATGTTATAAGAGCCAAAAAAGATGACACAGGTTATTATAAAAAGTATTTGGAGTTGTTAAATATTTTCTATTCTGATATTTATATATGTGTAAGTATATAATGGTATGTGTGATATTAATATAAAACTATAAACATACTTTAGTGAAATATGCTTATCTAATGCTATGATGCATGTGATTAGACAATTGAGCTATTATAAACCTGAAGATTTTGCTTATGGTACAGATTATATTATACATTTCCTAATAACTTAAATGAATGTAGAAAATGAAGATTTACCTTAATGATCCTTAGAGAAATTATTTCTGTGATTCATAATCAGATTTATGCACTGCTATAGCTAGTGATAGTTGTCAGGCAATGAATACCATTTACGTTTACTATCAATGGTTAGCAGTGCTGCTGCTGCCCTATTACAGAGAAGGGCAAATATGTTCCTCAGGTCACCCAGTATCCAAAGCTGACATCTCATCCTAACAAGTACCATTCTAGTTTTTCCATAGACAAAAAGAATTATACTTAATTACTGTATAATTGAAACTATTGTCCAGGAAGAGAGCACAGTTATTGCCTCAGACCCTTAGGAGATTTCACAACTGTCTTCATTCAGTTTATAATTTGTTAGACTTTTGAAATTTCGCTGTAAAGATTAGTTAAGTTCCGCTCTGTTTTGTCTTCAAGTAGCTTCCACCTCTTCATTGTTAGAAGGGTTTCTTGGGTTAGTTGGACGGTAACGTGGATCTTAGGGCCCTGTTGCGCTCATTTTGTTGACCTTAGCTACTGCCTCTGCCTTTCTGACCCTCCATTCTTGCATCTCTTGAAAGGAACTTCTAGTAATATAGTGCCTGCCCTACCAAAGAGCTCTATGGACACTAAGACAGTGACTGTAAAGGTGCCCTGGAAAACAATAAGCACGCCAGTAGAAAATGCCAAAATTAGTATTTGTGTTCATGCTCATCTACCGGTAGCCAAGTCACTTTACAGGAAAGTATGCCTTAATATCCAGAAAGCATCTCTTTGTGGGATGGAACTGTAAAAAGTAGTCCTCCTCCCCTTGCTGTTAGCCAGCCTTTTCTGTTTTATTTATTAACCCATTATTAACCTGCATGCCATCCCAGGCCAACTTATTGCAGCATTAAATACAAAAATGTTGAAAGCATGTTGAATCCGTGTTAGAGTGCAGGAGCAAGGATGGGGGTGAGCATCTTAGAAAGGATGATATCGGAATAAGAGCACCTGAAAGTGTTTAGTTTGTGCGGCATAGGTTAAAACTGATTTTATACAGTCCACCTTTATTACATTTTAAGCTCAAAATGTCTCAACATTTTTCAACATATTTTCCCAGCTCTGTCGCATGTTTTTAAAAGGGGGAAGCTTAGGAAGAACTTAAATAACCTTGAGCCATGTAAGACTTGGCACAGTTCTTCTGAATGGTCAGCTCCAAAAAGAATGAGAGCTATTTCAGTCTCTGAAGTGTTACTCACTGAATATAGGCTGCAATCAGTTCAAATCTTTACATTTTTCTTTAAAATGTTTAAAGCTTAATTAACCTATTGCAGTTTTGCCCTATACTTAATTTTTTAAACACAGGTATTTTGCTCAATGTATTTTCTGAGAATGAAGTTCACATGTGATTTTACTAAGTCTTAATGACAAAAGAAACAGGCCAGCTAGGCTACTTTAAAATAGCTTCTGAAATTTTCAAGGAAAAAGAAGCAAATTCATTTTTTTTGTAAGTTAAATAAGCTCCAACTGAGACCACAGCAGTCGCTAAATGCATCACCCATCTTTCAGTTCTAGCAGGCTCTGTGAAGAGACAGCAGGCATCTTTCCCTGCTAAGCATATGTTCAGGTTGTGGTCTGCTGAGTCTTTCATTCTACTGACTTTTTGCTTTTTTTTTGGTAAGAAATATGATTCTTACTTTCAGAAGGCAGTCTTATTTGCCTGATGTTGAAAGGGTTAATCATCTAGTAATACCAAGTTTAGTCACAGAGCACCACAAATAATGTACACTGAGGATTCCCATAACAAAATGTTGGGCAGAGAAACGGTTTCTGCTGAATTAACTTTATGAAGCCAGACATTAGCAATAACTGTTTTGTTGTTAAACAGTTTGCTTATGTCTCTGTGATGTTGCTAAGAATAATTATATTGCCTACATAGCACTTTGTGTGTGTTTAAATGTTTCATTATGGTTTTATGACAAATGTTTTCACATTTTTTACAGGCTATAGGAATTTAATCAATACAGACTGGTCTTTAAATCTGTTATTTTCCCACTAAATCTACTTATTATCAAATGACCTAATGTATTAGCTTTTGAATAATAAAACTTTTCTATATAGTATCAGTTTCTCTATGGAATATGTAATTTCTATGGTATTTTATACCTTGTAGAAGCAAAAATATAGGCTTTTTCATTTGTTTACTAGCAGTACCTAGCCTGAATACTGACATATTGACTGTTTATGCAGTTTCATAAGTAGGGTCAGGGCTCTGTTTGACAAGCTCTTAATATTGCTATCTCCAGGTAATGAGCCTGAGTTCTCACTAGGTGGCAGTGTCTCCTCTGAAGGACTGCTATAATTGTCTTTAGCAATAGGGACCTTTTCAAACACCTACTGTGTGCCAAGCTGCTGAGATGAGCTATAACACCAGACTCGGATTTCCCTGCTCACCAACCTTTTAGCCAAGCTAAAAGGCCACTTCTCCAATTGTAGGATTTCAGAAATAGAATTCATATTCATCATTGGTCTGCATTGCACTGTGGTATCTTTATTTTTCACACCATAGAACGCCGTCGAGTAGTTCAGGAAATACACACCTTTAAGTTCATAAAACTCTTGATAGCTGAGCACGGGCAAATGCCTTAAATTCCAGTACCTGGCAGAAAGGAGGAGTTATGACTACTAGGTCATCCTCAAGTACATAGAGCATTCACGGCTGGCCTGTGCTGGAAGAAACCCATCTCTCAAACTGATGATCGCCAATAGTGTTTATAAAGTACTGTTTTAGCATAGTTCTTGTGCAGTACATGCCTGCATTCAGAATTAAAATTCTTACACAATAGAATTTTAAAAATTTATGAAAATACAGAAAGGCATCATTAATACTTATAGAATACTTCAAAAATACTTGAAAGATGGTCACCATTTTACAGATACTGAAACTTGGGCACCAGAAGAATGAAGCAAATATCCTAAGGCCACATAGTTCTTGGTAAAGCTACATTTGGTTCTAGGCTGTCTGACTGGTGTCTTCACAATAAGATTCATATCTAGGTGATATGAATTTAATATCCATAGATTATGTATCATTTAATGTTTCTAATGTATGAGTTTAAATTAGGCTCAGATATTATAATTCCCATGGTTTTCTGAAAAATTTCCAGAAGAGATAGTGCTGACTAAAAGATGGGATTTTCAATATTGATTTTTTTTTTAGCCTAGTAGAAGAAATTAAAAATCTGCCACATTTTAAGGCCTGATGAAGCTGCTTTATTGTATTTTTGAAGTGTTTATTACATAATAGATTCTTGGCTTTTAAAGCCAGTAATATTCAGTGACTAAGGAAATATGAAAAATTTTATCAACTTGATGGCCTTGAGCATAAACAACTGTGAATTCTCCCTTGGGCCTTTATGCTTAAATGAGTGTTATAAAGTACAGCAGAAAGGAATGATGTGACCAAGGCTGACAGCAGTGTGGCAGGGACATCTACAACAGGGTGGAGACTGGGCCTCTTGACAAAATGCTGCCACTTTGTTCAGCCCTCAGCAAGTAATTTCACTTTATGTATGCATCTTAAGCTGTGAAGTAAAAGATACTGATACACTCCTAATTTTACCTCTATATGTGTTATCAAAGGATACAGTGAAACTGTAAAGCAAAACATGAAGCCTAGGTATTAACAAAGTTCACGACCCAGGCTTTAGTAGGAAATGCTAGTTTTTTGGTGTGTGTGTGTGTGTGTGTGTGTGTGTGTGTGTGTGTGTGTGTTGTTTTGTTTGTTTGTTTGTTTGTTTGGTTTTTTTAGCAATGCATGTCACACACGAAGACAACAGGATTGGAGCAGCACTACTATAGGACATTTGCAGACAGCATGGTGGGGATAGGCTTCTAAGCATTTTGGAAGCTGTAACATTCTTTTAAATCAAGTTACCACCTCCGTGTTCCTGACACTTCATCCATTGCTCTGCCATACCACTTAGCTTCCTGCAGTAACTGTTTGACCTCCAAGAGGTTGGAACCCCAAAAAGAGTCTGTTCTCCAAGCCTGCTACATGCGTGTGGTGATTCTCAAAAGGGGATGAAGAGGTGGGGATGACAATACTCAGGCTGAGCTTTCAGCACAGCAGGTTAGATCAGAGCTAAGTTTTAAACATACAAAGAAAAGTGGCAAAAATGCAGAAACGGGGCTATCTAATTGCAACATGATCTCTAACAAGAGTCTAAAAGTAACTTGGGAACCTCCAGATTATAAGCATAGAGCCTGAAGGAAAATCTACCAACTGTTTTACACTAACACATATCTGTTTAAGACAGTTTTATGTGTTTATGTGGGACAGAGAATGAAGAACTTAAAGCAGAGTCTGTAGTCTGAGAAAGTACACTTGGTGAATACTTGTGCAGACGGTTTGTGGTGGTCCTCATCACAAAATAAGGGTGCTGACCTGATAAAGTAGGATATTGATTTGACTGCTTGAATTCCAGCTTTTTATATAAAGTGCTAACGATGCTCCATGGAAATAAATACCCAGAGGGTATGTGGGGTTTTGATGTTTTACTCCATTAATAATACTTTAATACATTGTTAAATATATCTTAATACTTTAGAAAATTAAAGATGTGCCTTTTGCTGTTTTTTACCAGTGTAAAAAAATCTTTGAGAGAAATATTCAGTATATAATACTTAGGAAATATGGTTTAACAAAAAGTATAAGAGATAAAGCAGTTAAATCCTGTTAGTTTATTACTGATGCCAGTATGTGTGCTTCTTGGCCATCTTTGTGGTTGGCAAATATAAAATATCAAAAAACCTAGGAAGTTAGAATGCTAGACTGTTCTTAGATGCAGCTTTACATATGGCAAGAAAATAAAGGTTGGTAGCACAGTTTTCAAAGCAAATAATTAAAGGTTGGCAACACAACTTTCAAAGTAAAGAAGGCAGAGATCATCAAACATGATCGACTTCACAGCTCTGAAACCCATGCACTCTGGAGGCAGACCTTCCAAACACCTGCACGGGGGGCACCTCTCCTCAGTCTTTTCCTACAGCTTTACTTTTGCTCATTTCTAAAGCTCTTTGAATAACTGAAGGTGAAGTAAATGTTCTTGTTACTCTGGAAATAAGTACAAAATACAAACAAAAAACTAGAGTCAAATGTACAAGAATATCTTCAGGGAGTGGCACCTCTTGCACTTAAGGACAGATAATTGGTACTGAGGAATAACTCATTGACAGTTAATAGTCAGCAGGCCTACTCCCAGTGCCCTGTCCTCTGGAACTCATTCAGCATGGTCTGCAGAGAATACTCTAGGTTTCTTAGGAGAAATTGACTTGAAGTACATCAGTCAGACAGGAAAAAGGCATTTTTATTTGCATTTTTACTTTTTTTGTTAGCTGTTGGCTACATAGTTCTTTTGTAATTTTCTATAGTTTGTTTTCCTATTGGATTATTCATTTAAAATGGATTTTTTTTGTGGATCCTGTTTGCAGACCAAGAGCAGTTAACCACTTTTGTCATTTGCTTTGTGTATACAGCTTTGTTGGGATCACTTACATACCATACACTGTCTGAATTTTTTATGTACACTTTGATAATTTACGTATTTGTAAGACCATCACCTCACATCAAAACAATGAGCACAACTCTCACTCTTCAGTTCTCCATGGCTCGTTTTAATTGCTGCTTCTCCTTTTCACTCCTTGAAAGCACTCTGAATTGGTTTCCATGTCCCAGAATTTTTTGATAAAAAGATACTGTACGTACTGTGAATTCTTTTATGAATGGCTCTTTTCATCCTTTGTTTGGGGGTTCATTTATGTTTTAGCATTCATCAGTAGTTCGTTTGACAACTTCCCGCTGTTGCCTACTGTTGCTCCATTCTAAAGATTTGCCACAGGCTGCACCTCTGTCAGTTGATGCAAGTCTATCCCTGTTTTTAGCCATTACAAATTCAGCTGTTACATCTTGTACAGTTTTATTTGGGAAAATGCTTTCCTTTCTCTTATGTAAATTAATAAAAAAAAGGTCAGAATCATATTACAGATGTATTTTCTTAAGCCAAGTTAGGCATGGTGTAGTATATACCTGTAACCTTATTACTTAGGAGACAGAGGCAGGAAGATAGTGAATTCGAAACCACTTGAAGTGTTCCATCTTCTTTAGATCCTCCCAAATCTGACTAGGCAGGTCTTTGTCATTTTAGCCACTCTGACAAATGGGCTTGCTGCATTGCCCTGGCTCTGATTTGCTCATCTCTGCTGACTACTGATGTTGAGAGCTTTCTTAGGTGCCTGTCTGCCATCTTTGGAGTTTCTTCAGTACCTGTTTATGTTGGTGGCCATGTTTTGCTCTGTGCTGGTTCAGTTTTGATTTGAGAGTTGTACAGCAAATGCTCCCAGGCACATAATTCATAAATGTTCCTCCCAATGTTTGTCCTGTCTTCTAATTACTTTCATGCCTTGAACAGAAACTTGAAACTTTGAAGTACAGATTATCAATTCTTTCATGGATTTAAGTTTTGCATTTAAAATTTTTGCTTACTCCAAGCTCCCAGAATTGTTTTCTGGGGTTTCATTCTAGAACTTTCATAACTATGTTGTATATTTGCATCTGTGCTCTATTTTATACATGGCATGAAATGTGTATCAAAGTTTGCCTTTTTTCACACGTGAGTGTCCAACTGTCCCAGCACCGTTTGATGAAAAGTTTGTCCTTCCCAGTTCCCTTTACTCCTTGTCTATGTATATGTATGTTCTGGGTTCTCCAGTTTCTTGATCTGGTTTTGCAAACAACTAACTTTGTTGAGCTATATCCAATTTTTGTATATTTCACGTTCTGAAACTTAATTGAAGTCAGTTCCTAGTTCTAGTGGCTTATGAGGTATTTTTGTTTGTGTTTATTTCATGCAGATATTTTTACAGAGATGCAGGCCTAGTGTCTCGGAGTGAATGTCGCCTTAAATTTTGTTCCCTAGGTGCCTCAGCTTTCTCTCCTGTCTTCTATCGCATAGAAAAATATTTCCTGCAAAGAAATCTGTTCCTTTTTTCCTTTATATTTTGTTCACTATTTGGTAATTTCAACCAAGACAGTAAATCTGGCTCCTTTTATTACATCTTTATCCAGAAAGATAACTCATAGCTTATCATTTGCTTTTTAATTTCTATCATTATACCTCTTCATTTGTCTTAGGATTTAAATGTTCATGAGACAAAGTTGATCCTATTTCCTCATAAGAATATTTGTTGGGCTTGGCCTCTTCTAACTCATAGCCCTATAACAGATAATCTATGAAATCTGTTTTTCTGAAACATTCACACACATGCACGCACATGCACACACCCCTCTTGCGTTTCTGCTTTTAATTTTAAGAGTACACAAAAGCTGATCACTTGTCCGTCTATTCCATGTTTTGTCATTTTTAGGAAACTCTCCATTTCAAAGTTGTATAACTAAGGAAACAATTTTTTAAATGATAATCTTATGCATCTTCCTTTGGGATAATTTAAGATTCATTTATCCAGTAAATTGAAGAGTGTGTTTGAGTGCATCTTCTGAGCCATAAAGTGCAGGGAAGATGCTGCTCTCATCGCTGGTTACCATGGTTGACTGTTGTTCTGAAACAGCATCCACCATTTTAAACCTCTGTCTAGGGATTTAATCCAAGGCAAAATTATGTTAATTAAAGTCAACTATGAAAATACTTTTTCATGCAACATCTATAACACAAAAAGACAAAATATTACAAATATCTAGTAACAGGAGAATAAGTTTTGGAATTATAGTTCTTGGGTATTATAAAACATTTAAAATGGTAATTATGTTATAAAAATAACTTTGTATTTAAATTGACAAAAGTTTAAACTATATTTTTGATATTTTACATAGAATAAACATATGTATAAAGTTGGAAGAGATGAAAAATATAAAAAATGGATTTAGGTTTATGGGCTTGAATGATTATCATTTTGCATCATTAGTAGGCATTTGTAATATGTATGTGAATATGTATTAGGTTTACACTTCAACTTGAATTGCCCTCAAAGCACAGTTATAAAACTTCTTGGCATGAAATCATTTATAAATTTTCCTTTATTTCATGTTGCCTTCAATTTTTTACCTTGCCATTCTTGTTACCTTGCAATTTTAAAATGTGCTGTCCAGTTTCTGACTGTTAAATATTATTTCATAGCTTAAGTACCTGATTATCTTTTTGCTGTGATTATTTGAACTAATTTTAGGTTCTCTTTTCTTTTTAGTGGCCCAACAAGAGGCTGAAATGTTCAAACGCTATAATGGAACACTCCCATTGCCTGGCATCCATCAAAGTCAGGATGCCTTATGCACCTGTCCTAAACTGCCCTATCAAGGCTCTTTTCATATTGATGACTTTGTCAACACTGAGCATAATTCATCAAGGAAGATTCAACTTGTGAAGCAGAGAATCGAAACTGTCACAGTATGTTTTCTTCATTTATCTATGGCAGTTGAAAATTTTAAACTATTCTTTGCCATGCCAATAAAGATTAACATAAGGAAGGTAGCTAATTCTTATAACATGGTTTTCTTATGTAGTTCTCTCCAACTACTAGTTTTGAAGTCATTATTTACAGCATACAAACTAAATGTTGATCAATTCATCATGCTATCAGGACTTGACATATCTTTAAAGACCATCTCAAGACACAATAAGGAAGGGTTCTAAACCAAATTATCATGCCTAACCCTTGGCACATGCATAAGACTTAATTTCCTAGGAAAGGAAGAGAAAGCACCATGTCAGCACTGCACCGTAGGATCACTTGAGGGTAGGCTACTAGGTTTAGACACTCATCCTATGAATTCTTATTGCCAAGACTTCTACAACAGTGACTCTCAACCTTCCTAATACTGCAACACCTTATTACAGTTCATGTTGTGGTGACTCCAGCCATAAAATTATTTTTATTGCTATTTCATAACTGTAATTTTGCTACTGTTATGAATTGTAGTATATTTTTAGAGAAAGGTTTGTTGAGGGGGTCGTGACCCACAGATTGAGAACTATTGTGAAACTACTTCATAAAAGAACAGGTAATAAGGTAATATTTAAACAAGATGTTTTCTGTCCATGCATTCAAAGCCTTGTAAAAACGTTCTAAAAGTTTAGGTTTGAATGTTTCTTGAACTTCAGTGTTCAGCAGAGTCATCTAGCTCTAGCAGGCTTATTACAGCACTAATTTCCAGGCTGTATTGCTACGAGCTTCGATTCAATATGCCTGGCTCAGTCTGAGTTTTCATTTGTGGCAAGTTCCCAGGTGCTGGTCGGAGCATCTGTTGAACAGCTAGTCTGGTTCAGTCCCAGTACATAAGAGCATCATGCCTCGCATTGTGTTCACCACCTACGCCACGATCTCCTTGAAGGCAGTTCTGTTTTCTCCTTTTTTTTTTTTTGTTAGCATATCCTGTGACTGCTTGACTTTCAGTCTGCTATAGGTGGGTGATCTAGGGAAAACTTTGAATCCTAAACTTCCCTTCTAGAGAGAGTCCGTTTTTGTTTCTCTCCATTTTCTGTCTTCCTTTTTAGGGGATAAATCAATATCTTTAATCTTTCCAGTTTCCCCACTTTGACATTTTGTCTGTCTTTGCCTTCCTGTTTTCTGAATGTTTGCACTGTTGCCACCATGTGTTGATAATGTGCTGCTAAGGGCTTCTGCTTGTGGCAACTCCCTTGTCCTCTACACATGGGTGCTAACTTTGCAGGAAGTGCTGGCCAACTGTACCTTGTAATATTGGAACAAATAAAACTTAGCTACCTCAGTAACGAGTCGATTACCATGTTTAAAATATTCCAGATACAAACTAAGTTTGTATTAAGTCTTCTAGGCAGTGATAAGTTTACAAACACACACACTTATAAAGTGCTCACATTGACTCTTTTATTGTGGCAGATGTGTAACGTTGGCACTATGGTGGTTAGTATCCTTGTTTTATACACAAAGCATCTATTAACTATTTGTGTCTAAAACACAGGTTTCATAGATTTTGCAAGTATAAACAATGCACAAAAATCCCTTATTTTAAAAAAATTTCTACATCAGGAAGCTACAGTTTTTGTATGTGTGACTAGTGAACTTCTGCTTGTGATAAATGATGTTGTATAATTGTTTGTAAACTATTTCATAAGACCAAGAAGTCATTAAAAATAGAAGCAGAAGAAAGTACTGCCCAAGCTTAGACTTTAATGGAAAAAAAATAGTTAACAATGTTAAGGATGTCAGGATAAATTGCCCTCAAAGTCAATACAAACTAGGCAGGGAATAGCAGTAGAACCACATAATGTCAATCCATTAGAAATAAGTTTGGGTCATGACTCAAAGTATAATTCATTCTTGGTGCTGGAAGTTTTATTTGGAAGGTGATGTCTGTTGGGGTAATGTAGTGTTCCTCACACTTTATGGTAACTTCATCTAAACTCTCAACTAAACTCCATTGATATTTATGTATATTTTAGGAAGTTTCTACAGTAGTAGGCTTCCCTGTGGCTTTTTAAAAGCTTAGTGTCAGTTTAAAAGTTTTCCTTTCCCATTTTGCCCCTCATCCTTGTCCTCCCATTTCCCATTCCACTTAACCCCTCTTTTCTGATTTCTACATTATCCCACTATAACACTGTATCCCCCCTGTCCTTGAAAGACCTCTTCCTTCTGCAATCCATTATTAGCTCCCTAACCCATGTTGGTATTCTAAGTGAAATTCATATATGTAGCTGCATAAAACCTATTGGACATACTGAAGTCAGAATGTAAAATTGGATTGGCATTCATAGAGAAATGATGATCTCATTTAAAGCAAGAGTGCCATTAAATGGATGCTGTCGAGTGTCAGGGCTAGGGAGGTGATTTCTGGATAAAGTGCTTACTTGCACAATCATGCAGGCCGAAGTTCAGTTCTTCAATAGCCACATTAAAGCTGCCGTAATGGTGTGTGTCTTTAGCCCCAGCACTGAATATCTGGAGACCACAGAACCCATAGAGTTGACTGGCGATATGGCCTAACTAATCACTGAGCTCCAGCTTCAGTGAAGACCCTGTCTCAAATAAGGTAGAGAGCAATAGAGGCAGAAATCTGATGTTGATCTGATCTCCAGATGTACACACAGAGATGTACATATCTGCCTACAAATGGCATATCACACACATACACACAATATTGTGTGCATTAACAAGAAAAGGACAACAAGGCAAAATATCAGAAACAGCAGCTTAGATTGTGTTTCATTAAATATATTCAGAATTTTTGTTAATGGAGTCAAAAATTAGTCTGAGAATTTCATGTAAAAAGACACCCTGGCTAAGATAAAAATAAAGAAATTTCAAAGACGAATTTTGGAAATCTCTGCATTGCAAAGGTAAAAGGGGAAGTTGATACTTAAAATAATCAGTTAATAAGATAAGGTGGAGGACTAACTTCAGTAGCATGCTTGAGAATGCATGTGAAGGAGTGATAAGTAGCTCTAGGGCCTTAGGGCGTAGGCACTGGCGTAGGGCACAGGCTCTAACCTATGCCTGCTTTGTGACTCCCCAATACATCAAATACTAACTTTCCTCTCTGAAAGCACGGATTCTGATTCCTCACTTCAACTGCATTGTTCAGATTCAATGAGATCCTAAATGTAAGGCTTTCTAACTTGTCTAAGACATAGTACAATGACAGTTGTTACTGTTGAGAACAGAGTTATGTATATGAAATGATTGTGTTCATTTATAGTTTTAAGAGACCAAACCATATATATATAAATGATAGCTACCTGCCGAGAAGTGTTTCAGCTGACTTCTTTAGATGAGCCAGGTAAAAGAACAAATGATAATTAAGACCGTTCTTGTCTTACCGGATATTTAAATACATCATAAAGCTGAAATAATATAAATATTATGAAGCAAATTCATAAAACTAGCTACATCAGATGGGGAAAAGACAACACTAGGAAACGTAAGTGTACACTTAGCCAGTGTTTCCCCTGTGCTTCGATCTTTCCACTCTGAAATCCCCTAGTGTAGTGGAAATCTGGGAGAAAAATTATCTTGTACTAAATACTTTATTGGGGGTCTTGAGCTCCTCCGACTTTCTCAAGACCTGAAAAACCTATTGTTAGGTTACACATGTAAGTAGAACTTGACTGACCAAGAAATTAAATAGTTAATAACTAGGGTGATGGGGATAAATTCCGGTGACAGAGCGCTTGCTTGCTATGCCCAGAGCACAGGATTCAATGTGCATCACCTCACCACACACCCCAAACACAGGAATATGTGCTGACAAATACTTCTCATGTAAACTGGTGAAAGACTTGCTAGTCCTAAAATTAGTAATTCTCCCCCCTATGTAAATTTTAGGTTTCTATCTAGTAAATACAAATGAACATATGTGTAATATATAACATGAAACATACACATGTATACATTTTTGTGGCAAACACCAACATGGAAAAATGTTAGTCTCACAGCTTGTAAAAAAAAATAAAGCTGCGAAGAAATGGGTTTAAAAAGCTTGCTACTTCCAAGTAGAAATCAATATTTCATAACCATATCTTGATTTTCTTACCCCCAAGTACCAAAGAAACCAGGTGTCATCAGGAAATAGTGAAAATGGAGAGAAGGAGGGCACTTTGTCCATGCAGTGTGCTGTTACTCTGGCTCCCCAGGCTTTTTCAAAAAGCAATGTTAAGATTAAGAAGCTTAAACATTCTGTAGTACATTGTATCCTTTGACCTTGGTCCTTTAGATAATGTTAGCCGGGGCTCCTTGAAGCAGGCTCTATGACTGTGCTCTAGGCTGTAGTTTTCTCCTCAGTTGGCAACGAGCCTGACTCTTCATACATGTTATCCCCTCTCATCTCCTGATGCACACCTGATGACTTCTTTCAAACTTCCTGTTTTAAATTAGCAACAAGCTTGCTTCACCTGTCAATCCCAGCTCCCTCTCCCTCCCCTCCACTTTTAAACCAGACCTGCCAGGAAAGGCACTGCAAGCCTTAGTCCTTGCTGTGCTTCTCCCTTCCTCTTCCTTCTGTAGGTGAATTGATACCAAGCACACTCTGCACTGGGTTTAGATGTAGTTGGAAAGAGGGTGGTTTTGTTTACTTTTTTGTTACTCTTTTAAAATTAAGAAAATGATTTAAAATTATCTGTTTCAGTGTTTTAGTTCTTACATATTTTAGTGTTTTGAATGCAATCAGATGTATTCCACATTAAAAGAAATTGTAATGTTACTTTTAAAAATTTAGAGAATATACATTTAAGAGGACCCCTTTTCTAGTACCGGGTATGACAAGGTTTTTTGTAGACACAAGAACCCCCAAGGACTAGACAGTGACACTTTCTTCCACTCGCTCAGTTTGAAAGCTGACATCCTGAAGGTACCTAGCTCTTATGGCATGCTTTCTGATATCACTTCATGGAAAAGAAAATTAAATGAACATAAGAGAAATGCCAAATAGTATTTTTGAGAGATTAAATCCAAGACAGGAGAAATAATTTTCAAAAGAGAATTTGTGTCAGTTGCTCAGCTTTGAGCATGTGTTCTCTTTAGGAGAATGCATAGTCTTGGGTTGATAAAGCTGCTTTTGAAAATCTCTGCACAGTCTATAGCATAAAAAGAACTCATTTTTCCTGTCCAGAGATTTTACTAAACTTAGGTAAGATACATTTTCTTTCAGTCTGTACATCAAGTAATAAGAATGAAATAAGATGTATTCTTAGCCTATGGTAGCTTCATTCCTGTGCTTTACAAACATCTGGGTTGGTGAAACTTCCTGCCTTTTGTCACAATGTCTTTTCTCATGTTTCTTGTAACTATATATTAGTAGATTCCAAATACCATTTTCATTATAAATTCCTCTAGTTATAGATTCCTCTAGTTATAAAAGACAAATAACTCACCATAGCCTCTTGTTACTAAACTAGGAAATTTTTGTAATAGACCTCAGGTTTAAGGTATTTGTATATATCTAAATTATATAAAATTCATCTCAGTCAGCACTTAATAGATGTTTGCTCATTAGGAAAGGACGGAGAAGTAGATGATGACTGAATGACAAGGCTCTAAGGATCAGATCATCACATATCATTTGTTTCAGTTTGCAGACCTAACAGCTGCTCCCACAGTAATAACTAAGTCATTCTCCAGCTCAAGTGAGGCCTCTCAGGGATACAACTCATTATGAATTTTCAGATTCAAATTTGTCTTGACTACATTCACGGTTGCTTGGGATCTCGGATACCTTTAGGATTAACCAGTCCAACAAATAGTTGATCTTATTAACCCAAATCAATGAAAAAACATCTTCAGATGATAGGCATACCTAGCGCTCTAGTGGCTGGACCACTCAAGACTGCTCCAATTTTCATATTAACCTGAGTCCAACTTAGTGGTCACAGAGATGCTTGCCAAGTAGAACCACAGAAGTAACAGTTGAATGACTCTAAAAATTATTTCCATTTTAAGAAAAGTTATTTTTTTCTATCACATAAGCAATTCACTCTATAGAGTTAATGATAAGTAATGTGTCTTGTTAGTAATTCTTGTTATAATGTATTTCTGGTACTTTCGTAAGTGGTTTGTATGCTGTTATAGTTAATCCTCAAATATTTAAGGATAGTAAAGGGTGTTAGCAGCCTAGAGAGCAATGGAGTTCAGACTGAGGAGTGGAGCTAAGGATCAAGCTGGGCTCTCAGGTCTCTTGTAGACACTGAATTTCCATAGCCTTTAAACACAGGGTCAGGTCTCTTGTAGACACTGAATTTCCATAGCCTTTAAACACAGGGTCTGAAAGGAAAACCCGGGACTATTCCTTTACATTTGATAGACTTGAGGTTGGTTGTTGGCTTTTTGTTTTTATTTTAATATACCAGGCTGATAAGTGCTGATTAATTCTAATTGGAGTTGAGTATTTTTGTCTCTATAGTAACAAATTTTCAACATGTCCATTATTCACTGATTTCTACTACTCAAAACTAATGATTATGGCCTTACCCCATGAATTAAAAGCAGCCCCTTTTCTGGTTTTTAAAATTACTTGTCACGTTTTTTACCATCTTTAGTACTTTAGTGCTTAATTGCTAATTTAGAAATTGTAGGTACTGATTCTATTCATAGTAATAACTATGTACTCTAGCTAATTCAGAGTTTGTCTTTTTGGCCTATTTCTGTGATAATTATGCCAAGCCTATTAAGGAGGCAAATCTTTCCCAAGACAACCAAAACTGGGCTCTCAGAAGTTTTGGTCAGTGCCTTTTTTGTTGTTACTGTTTTTATTTTATTTTATTTTATTTTTTATTTTTTTATTTTTTTGGTTTTTATGAGACAGGGTTTCTCTGTATTGTTTCCGAGGCTGTCGGTCCAGCCCAGCCTCGAACTCACAGCGATCCGCCTGCCTCTGCCTCCTGAGTGCTGGGATTAAAGGCGTGCGCCACCACCGCCTGGCTTGTTTTTATTTTTTTAAATTAGAAACAATCTTGCTTCACATGTCAATCCCAGCTCCCTCTCAACCCTCCCCCGCCCCTCACCAACCCCCCCCAGTCCCCCACCTCATCCCCCTCCGCTCTCTAGAGAGAGTGAGGCCCTCCATGGGATCTCCAAATCTGTCACATCATTCAGTACTTGGCTTAGGCCCTCCCCCATGTGTCCAGGCTGAGAGCATCTCTCGATGGGGAATGGGCTACCAAAGTGCCTTTTCATTGGCAAGTTTTTCTTACTATAAAATGTCATTAAGTCTCTTGAATTCATAGTATTTTCAGCTCATTGGAAAGAATGCAGAGTGACAATACAGAGTGATAAACTTTCAAATGCTGGTTCTGGTTATTAGAATGACATCTGAATGTTTTAAAGAGTCAATACTTTATTTAAATAAAATTATGAATACTTTATTGTACTGTATTTCTTTTAGGAGGTGATACGATCCTGTGCTGCAAAAGTAAGTAGTTTTTATTACCAGGAAGACAACTTTAAAATTAGTTTTTTATGATATACCAGAGAAATGGAATGCACCATTGTAGACTTGACAGCTTGCACAAAAATTGACCCAGTGTGTACTTACTGATCTTACAATTTACCATAATTATAATACTGGAATTCAAATTCATTCAAGAGTACTTATCAAGTAGCTTCCAAGTTTTGAAGATTTAGAATCCTAGCAATTGGGATATAATTTCAGTAGAGGTCCAGCACACAACAGGCATCCACTTTTTACAAGCAAGCCCGTTTTTACACACAACCTTTAAGCAGTTAAGGAGTCAGAATGACAGTAGTTTACATCTTTCCTTCTGCCACTTTCAAAATTCCTCTGAATAGACTATCATTTACCAATGAATAATATGTAACATAAAAGATGAGACATCCAGAAGGGAAAAAATTAGAATGCTTAGAGATATTCATACAGTGAAGAAAGTATTTTGTTGACTAGTCTGCAACCATATAGCAGGAACATGGAGAAAAATAGGTTGTGAGGCATGTCAGAAAGTACTAGGCTTACCCCATCACTGAGCTGCTCATTATCAGTCAGGACCCATCACATTTTTACCTAATTATCACAAGTCAACGGGACATCAAATATAGACAAGGGGAAGGAAGACGAGGGAAGAGAACACGCTATATTCTGATTTGGCTGCAGATGTTCAGGAAACTTTCTCCTGATAGCAATGATTGTTGTAATGATTATAGCTCCAAGATTACCAAATCTTAAGTGTGTGATATATAAACTGGTAGTAATGTTCTAACTAGCCCTAACCTCTCCTTCTCACTTCCCCCTCTCTCTCAATGTGTGCCATACCCTTCTCCTCTGATGCTGTCTCGATGTCACTTGAGTCAGATAGTCTACATACATCTAACCAGTATTTAGGGAGAATGTCCCTATTAATCTGAAAACTCACTAAGGGTGATAGGTAGCATCCTTCATCTGGTATCCCTAGAATTTAGCCTAGAATAAACACTCATCAAAAATATAATTACATATTTGGAAATCAAAATTAGGAAAGAATAACATTACTAACACCTTTTTGTACTATTTTAAATAGCTTTTTATTGGGATATAATTTATATATCATAATACCCCTTTTAAAATTCTTCTCATAAAATACATACCCATCACAGTTGCCCCTCCCTCCACTCCTCCCAGCCTCCCCCACCTCCCCTTTTCCCCAGATCCACTCCTCCTGTTTTCCTTCAGAATAGAGCAAACCTCCCAGGGATATCAACTGGAACATGGCATAACAAGATGTAATAAGCAAGATGACTCAGTGATAAAGACACATGGTACAAAAGCCTGATGACCCGAGTTTGAGCCACAGAACCCATGTAAAGAGCTACCTCTAAAAAGCTGCCCTCCCCTCCACGTGTGCATGTGGTACATGTACACCTATATACACCATCCATGATGACACAAAATCATAAATTTCAAAATGAATGTAGGTTCACCATCTTAATTTTCAGCATTATGCAAGTCCCCTCCACAAAGACACCTAACATCTGTTAGCAGCCCTTTCCAATTCATAAACATGACATTTATCCATATAGATTCATGATAACCGTTAATGTGTGTTCTGTAGATTTTTGCATGTTGGAAACTTCATTTAAATGGAAGCATATAGTATGTTGTCTTTGGTCTTAGGAGTTGGAGTTTTCACCTTATTTTATACTGCATTCTACTCTGTAATACAAACTGCCCTGATGTTTACAATGTAGCCCATGTTGGCCTCAACTCATTGTGATCTTACTATACCAGTCTCCGAAGTGCTTGGATTATAGGCATGAGCCACCATGCCTGGTTTAGTATGTGGCCTTTCATGACTGGCTTCTTAAGGGCTTCAAGGTGTCCCCATTTATTTTGGGAGGAGGTAATTTTTTGGATCACATGATAACCATTTTTAACATTTTGAGGGATTCTCCATCAGTACTTTCTTGCCAAATATGCATATGTTGCATTTTCCCACCTGCTCATCAGTTTATCAGCATTTGGGTTGACTCTACCTTTTAGCTTTAAGATTAACTCTTTTATGACCATGTGTTGGTATAAACAAATTTCGGTGTAGACCTATGTTCTTATTTCTCTAGCTTTTAGGATGGACAGTGACTGGAGGGGCGGGGCCTGCTCTCTAGGGAAGGATCATGGAAGATTTTCCAGAGAAACATTTAACAAAGACCTAAAATCCTAAACTAAGAATAACGATGCTTGGGCTATTTAAGGATCAGAAGACATTACTTTGCTTAACTGGGAATGTCCAAAGGAAAGCAAGGTTTTATGACAGGGCTAAAGAGGTGATGGAGTAGATTGTATATGCCTTTTTAAAGAGTTTTTGTCAGCATGACAAAGTTAGTGTTTTAGAGAAGCAGTCTGGGGTGAATAGGTGAATTAATATTAGCAGAGTAAGGTCTTGCAAGCACAATGATCAGCAGACAGTTACCCTGGTCCTAGAAAGAAACACTAGGTAGAGCTATACTAAGAGCATGAGGTTTTAAACAGTGAACAGATTGAAGATAATGTTTGGTTTATTGTGTTCTGAAGATAGGTCTTCAGATATATCCAAGTGTGATTAAAGAAACGAGGGACATCTTCTGTTTTGGAGCTTTCAGCAATTGTGTGGATGCTGCTGCTGGTTTTTAATTGGGCGAAGAATGCTGGGATGGAAGGAGCAGGTGTTAGAAGTAGAATGTGGGTCAGAAGGATAACTGAAGTGGATAATGGCCGTGTAAGTCTTGTGTTCGGGAGGGAAAGGGCCTAATTCCTTTTTAAGAGCTATACCATCGGACAAGGGCTCCTACGGAGACAGTATAGATGAGGCTCTGGTACCCGAGAAGGCAAGGGAGCATTTCAAAACGTATTCAGCTGTCCTGTGCTAGGAAGAGAAGTGGTAAAGAGAAAACAGAGTTGACCTTTGTAAATAACAAGATAATGGCTCTGGTTACTTTTCTTAAATGGGCACAAAATCACAGTAGTAGTGAGCTGAAAATGGAACAAATTTCAGAATGCAGAGGTGGGCCAGTGTTTTCAAAGTGTCATACTGGGGAGTAACTTGGTAAAAACTTGAATTGGGATCATTTGATGGATCTTGAAGTGTAGTTATTTGCTATTGTGAATAATTCAGTGGGAGTTTAGCCACTGATAATATGCCATGGAGGTGGTAATAACGAAATGAAGTTCTTTAAAGAGTGGGAGAGGATAGAAGCACATGTTCTCAGGCAGATCTGGCTTTAGGAGAAGGGATCTTTCCTACTTGGCAGTAAAGCTAGGTGGACGCAAGAGGCAGATCTGATGATGGGCAGAACCTGACTGCTCTCCATGCAGGAGTTTGGGTTAGGCTCTTGTGAATTAACATAGCTCAAGAACCTCTTCACATGAACTTATAAATTACAAATTGCCTGAGTTCTCCATTCCTTAGAATGGGATTAAAGTTTATCAGTAATGATTTTGCCTGTATCTGTTTCCATTAAGTGTTTTTTGTGATTTCTCATAAATTCACACAGTATAAACAAATTCCACAAGAAACTGACTTCCACGTGTTGTCAGACATAGTTATTCATACCTGGCATATTTTATAAGTTGGCTTATTCTGCCTTCATGTATAATTAATCCTACCTTTTTCTAATATTAGACCATCAATTATTTCAAAAGAATAGTTTGCTTCTCTCCTTTTATTAACCTATAAATCATAGTAATAGAAGTATTAATTTTGTATAATTTTGTTTCCACTTCTAGTTCTTGCATATCTGTCTCTCTAAATTCCTATGTAAACATTTTGAAGTCAGGGAACTTCATCTTTTTAGAAGTAGTATCATCTCTTCTCCTATATTAATAAAAATAGTCAATTTAATTGTTAATGTGACGAGACTAGGCATGTTAAGGGTGTTGTGGCCATAGATTGTGATTAATGCAAGAATACAGAGAAAAATTAAAAGGGATGAGGAGGTGATTCATTGAGTAAAAGTGCATGCCACATAAGTCTGACTAATAAGTTAAGACGTTCAGCACCCATGAAAATGCTAGGCGCTAGGGAGGCCAAGACAGGCAGGGAAGCTCATTGGCTTGGTAAAGAGCCCTGACTTAAAACATAAGGTGGACATTAACCAAGAAAGACACCCTTGCTCTCCATTTGCACGTACCCCTTCATATGCATGGATACTCACTGGTTTGAACCTATATATGTCATGTTTATTTTAGTCAGAACCACCTTGAAATGTACTACCAAAAACGTGTTTTTAAAAATATTTAAATGACAGAAATTTCAGAGAATATAACTTTAAATATATATATATATACATACATACACACACACGCTGAGTTTAATGATAATTCTCGAGATGTAGAGAAATAAGGATCAGGAGTTCAAGCCATCTTCACCTACATAGCAAATTCAAGGCCTAGACAATGAGACCTTGTAAAAATATTTTAAAATGTCTGTATACATCTCATTGTATATAAAGAGGATAAGATTGATTGGAGTAGAATTTTGAGTTTATTTCAGTTTTTTGAAAAGGTTTTTAAAAAATTTTAAATTTATTCCTGGCATTTGGAAACTAGATAAGAACCAATTAATCTTTATTGATCTGGTGATACTGTGAAGTCTGGCTTGGGTGGGCTATGGTAGTTGGTGGTCCCTATGTGAAGGTGAGCAGGGTGGGGTGAGTCAAGAATTCCTGCCTGGGCCACTAATAGTGGCAGTGCTTCTAGGGAAAGGCTAGGTCACGTCTACATTTAGGTGAGTCTATAGATTTAAGAAACACACAATTAAAGAGCAGTGAAGTGATGATATAACTGTTCCTGCCTGGGGGTGCTCTGAGGTGAGGTGAGGTGAAGAGGTCGATGCAAACGTTGTGAGGCACTGGGTAGATTCGAGGAAAGGCAGGAGGAAAGGAGAAAAAGGTGAGTGGTAGATACCAACAGAGTCCTAAACAGTGTGCGGACTCAGTTATTCACTCACGCATTATATGGAGATGAGCGTCTGAAGTATTGCTTCTGTGGTGCTTTTCAAAGGATTTTTCTTTTAATGAAGCCTAAGGGACTTCCTGAGGGAGAGGGAGAGCTTTTGTTGGTTTACTGTTTATTTTGTCCTAAGGAGACAGGACTGTGTAGAATTTCTCCTCAGACTTTGGAAGAGCCGCAGTGACACCGTGAGAATTTGAAGTAGTAAGTAGCCTTGAGTAGAGCCACCCTTCTGATGCTGAAGGAGAAGAAAGTAGAGCAGGTTCAAGAAGTGTAGTGTTTCGTAAGTTTTACAATTAAGGCATTCGGGCCATTCACGATAAAGTTTTCCTATGAAGCAGGACAATACACTGAGAGGAGGTTAAAGGCTTAGAGAAAACCAAGAAGCCTTCAGGTGGGTTGCCTTACTTGAAGGCATATTGCCGCATTACTGGTTTGAGCTAGACTGATTTTTGAATTTCATGTAGGAGAATCACATCAGTAATCTATGAAGCACAAATCCTTGGTATCTGTTGCAGGTTCAGGCAGCCCTAATTATAGAAGGGAGCTTCTTAGTGACTGATTCACATTTGAATTCTTGTTTTAAAAGTTAATGAACTGATCTGAGAGGTTTCTTGCACTGTACTATTGTAAACTTTTCATTTGGCTCATTACAACTTCTATGTCCTGGCTTATAAAGAAAACATCTGAGTCTTTAAGTCATGTTTAGGTTTTTCCTTAAAATAATTAAACTACCCCTTTTATATATTTCATTATCCTGCAAACCAAAGCAGGTGTGGTTAATCTTAGACTGTATGTTCTGAGATAGAAAAATAGGAAAGACATGAATTTGTGACCCTTTAACAAGATAGCATCAGTGTATTTTTGGTTTTAGTTTAAACTAACTTTTGAAGGATCACTGAAGGTTGAAAATTCAAAGTTCTAGTTCTGATAAAAGTGGCATATGATCTAAAATTGGCTGATGGGATTAGACTTGTAAATTTGCATGCGTGTGAGGATTCTATCTTTCCTAGGGGGTCTTAAGTTTTAGTTACTAAAAGAGAAAGTAATTATCGTGATTTGCATTCGGTTTTATATTGGAGCAGTAAGATTTTCTAACAAGAATTAACCCACTACTGAGAAACAAGTGTTTGCCTGTTTTGCACGAAGCGGCTTCTAGCCTGGAAGAGCAGGGAAAACAGTTTCATAACTAACTTGGCAGAAGATCTAGGGTTTTTTTTCTTATAAATTTTACTCAAATTTTGTGCTTTTAGGTTTCTACAGTGTGGAGATATTAAACTGACTTTGGTGAACTGTGGTTTTTGCATGAAGCAAGCAGAAAAGTGTGTTGTGAAAAGGTTGATTGGTATAGGGTAGACTATCTTAGCTAACCTTACTGTTGTTGTAAAGTTATTAAGCAATCTTTTCCACAGCATATATTTCAGAAACAGATGTTGCTTCACTCTATATAATGGGTATTATTATTTTTCTTCCTCTAAATGAAATTCTAAATATATATAAGATCACTTTGAAAATCTTTTGTCTTCAAATTTCAAATCCCCATTAATAATTGATAGATATGGCAAATCTTATAAATTGAGTTACCTGCTCCATAGTGTTGCTACTTACTCATCATTTCATTAACATTTGAGTGGTATCCAAAATAGGATGTCAAGAAAGATCAGAATCACAAATTGCTTAGGGAAAACATGTAATTCTGCTCCTCCCGACACACATTAATGTCTCTTAACAAGAGTGTTGGATCTCATTTGAGCAGAGGTTTAAGCACTCTGTTCTAACTTTCTATTTGTTTTTTTAGCACAGACGAAGCTCTAAAGAGGAAGATGTGAAAGACACATTCTGTGTATATCCATAATCATGGCATAGAGATAACTTAGAATTATGTAATTACAACCCTCGTATACACCTGTTTATTTGCATCACACTTTAGATACACTGTTTAACATGCCTGAAGATAATTTGCAAGAATATAAAAGTAAAATTGACAAGCGGCTCTAGTAAGAAGTTAATTGGTTAGGTGATAAATGTCTTCGTATGTAGAACTTCCACTAAAAGCAGAGAACTCTGAAATAATTACTACATCTACATTTGATTTGCCTGATTATATTATGGATGATATTAGCACCTAATATTTATGCAATACATTTGTATCAGTTTATTTTTATAGATAAAAGTAGTTGATTTTTAATACAGACAAAAGTCCTGCCATTGAACAATACAACCAGTTCTACTGAGTTTATTTACTGTATTGTCTAGTACTTTATAGTTAACATGTAAATAGAATATAACAGTTCTATGTCATCTTCATTGACAGTCTTATTAAAGCATGGATAGAAATTTTTGGTTTTTGGTTTTGGTTTTTGGTTTTTGGGGGAGTTTTCGAGACAAGGTTTCTCTGTATTGTTTTGTTTTGGAGGTTGTTCTGGAACTTGCTCTGTAGCCCAGACTGGCCTGGAACTCAAAGATCCATCTGCCTCTGCCTCTTGAGTGCTGGGATTAAAGGCATGTACCACCAACACCCGGCTCTAAGTTTTATTGAGATCTCCATTTAGATTGATGCAGCTCAAAGGTTTTTCTTTGTTATTTTAGTTAGCATATAGTTGAGTATATTAATTTTGGCTAGAACTTAATAATGCATCCTGAGAATTTTTCCAGTTTGGCAATCAGTTAACACTGATGTAGTTTTGACTCCTAATTATTTTGAAGAATATTTTTTGCTGAGAATATAGCTCTGGGGTGGGGCACTTGTCTAGCATGTGCAAAATCCTGATTTGATTCCCAGACTCATACCATGAAAAGGTTCTTTTTTTAAAGTCTTAGGGGATAACAATAATTTTTGGTTTTCTAGAACTGCATTACTGTTTTCTCCAAATGTGCTAAAGCTCTTTGTTCCAAGCAAAGAAGTGAATCTAAGATACAATCATTATCTGAAAAACAGACACATTTACAAACATGTAACTAATGAGACAGATAGTATATTAACCACAGCCCAACACTAGCCTATATAGAACACATAATTTTTAAACATTAATGCAGTGAAGATCCAGTGAAGTTCTGTGTGGTTTGATTATTTAAAGAAGTGTAAATAAAATGAAAAGGAAGATATTTTCATGTAGCAGTATTTACATATGTTATTTTTGCATTTTGATAATTCAAAGGTTATTTGCAGTGAATCTTAAAACTCTCAATTTGTTAAAATATGGGTGGTTACATTTTATGATTGTTAAAAAAATATTGAATTAAATTTTCATAATGACCAAGAATAGATTTTTCCTCAAATTATAATTTCTAAGATAAATTTGCTAATAAACTTTTTAACTGTTTTAGTGAACTATTCAAATGGAAATGTACTTGTTATGTATTTAATTTCATGGGACTATTATACTCAAAAAAATCTTGGTAGGTTTTACATGTCATAGGATATTTACTTGTAGAAAGTTTGCTTGATTATCATTTTTAATCAGTCATTCTGTGTTTAGTCTTTAAGAATTTTTTATGCCATGAAAACTTTCTCGTGGCAAGTTAGTGTTCCATCTACCATCACGATACATAGAAACATGAGTAAACAGGACTTCTCTATCTTACTAAAATACTAGAAAAATGTGAGTAGGAAACATTTGAACTCTTCCATATTTCAAAGCAATCAAGGAATTGCTTTTATTTCTACATATCTTTGAAACTTAAGATCACTGCATTTTAAGTTATTACATAGTGTCAATTCCAGAATAAGTAGATTAGAAAGGTAAATTGTTTTGACAGCCATCTTCTCTCCTTAATGAAACTTATCCTGTCTCCCAGCTGTAAAAACTAACCGTCCAAGTCACTACCCATTCCCCTTAGTCTGTTACATGTCCTGCTTTGGATACTAAGCAAACATTTTTCATCTAGTTTTTGCATCAGTAACCCAGGAAATCTAAGGTACTTTCGGATTTTCCTTTCCTGCTGCAGGTCAACAAGAATCTCTCAATGACTTCATCACTACCAGGCCCTGCAAGGAAGCCGCGGGTGAAACAGTCATTTGTGCTGACCACTGATGAGATAATTCATCAGTTTGGATTACCTCAGGCCGGTGAGCAGCCTTCATGCTTTGCATATTCCTTGTAATGTTCAATGCTGTTGTCTTATGAATGTACTTATTTCTATTCAGAAATAAAACTTGTGTGGCAATCTAATAGTTTTCATACTTGATAAAGAATTGTTCTCTAGCATCTTTTTTCCTAAAGCCGTAGAAATGATTTTAAAGTTCAGAATTGGTAACTTTAACATTAACTACCTTGAACTTATACTGTTAAAGAGATCATTTAAAACTTGAAAAACACATTTTAAATATGTACAATATTAAATCTGAATTTTTCGATTGAATAAAAGAACTATAGCTTATGAATAATTTTCTTTTTAACTGTTCTTAAATTTTATAAAGAGCTAACTAAAATGTGCCTTTTGGTGGGATATCAGTGATATCACAATGATATCCCATCTCTCAAGTTGCAAGTTAATAGAATATACATAAAATCCACATTAATCATTGAATTAAAATGAATTGTACAATTAAATTTTATACTAATGTTTTAAATGCACATGAACAAGGTCTTCAAAATTAAAGAAAATATGAGAAATACCACCTTAGAATTGAAAAATGACTTTCTGTTAGTTATTTACGATATTCTACCTTCTACCAAATCAAGAACTGAAGCATCACAAGATACTTATCTGAAGAGATGGATACAAAAATTTTTAGCTTGAATAGTTGAACGTAGTTTACTTAGATTTGGGGACCATATTACTTTTCTACTGTGAAAATACTTGGAATTTATCATTATAGAGGTTAATGGTAATTGCTATATAAATGCTTAGATTTAGAAACTTTACATATATCCTTGTAACTTTTATTACACCTGTCTTAGAATTTTTATTACAAAACTGAAAATTATATTTGGTGAGGTAACTCTTAAGCTGAGGTGCCATGAAAACATTTTATAAGTGTAAGGCACTGTATAAATTTGACATCTACATCATAAACATGCCAAGTTTAAAAATACTTGAAATCTCAATTTCAAACCACCATAATTAAGTTGCCCCACATCTCACAAGCTTTAAATTGGATGTCCACCTGAATTTATAACAATACCAATCACTGTTATTATGAAAAGTGTACCATGTGGTGCTCATCAGACTTTTATTCTTTATGCTGTACAGAAATATTTGGCTAGAGTTCGAGGTTACCCTTATAATGGCTGGAAAAAAAGGGACCTGTCTTGTCCATCAGTTCTTAAGCACTGTCTTTCTGATGAGGTCATTTTTTTCTGGAAAGAAGTCTTGTCTCAAAGGCATAGATGTTGAGTCTCTGATTGCATTACTGTATTCTTAAATCAATTTGAGAAACTTTGTCTGTCAGCCAATAAGGAATAGATAATAAACACTTTCATATTCTACGGAAGGAAAGAACAGAAAGGCTAGATGGGAAGGTGCTCCCAGTGGGAAGAGTGATGATCACAGAACAGATAATAAAGATTCAGAATAGAGAAACAACTGCATCTGATAAAGGCAAATCTTGCAAACTTCAGAAACTTAGATGGGAGTCATGCCATTTACCTTCAGCTTTCATAGCAGTGGAGTCTGAGTTTGCATATTTGTGTCATGAATGTCTATGCATAGGCATACTATCCTAGACATTACCAGTGAGCCATAGGATACAGGTAATGTGGCCACACCTGACTTTTGTTTTGGTCACTAATGTGGTTGACCTCATTTTTTAAGTCATATCCATCCTAGAAAGTTTTTATATAATATACATTATATGCATAGTAAAATAGAAATATGTGATCAATAGTAAGTTGACCACTAGCAGGGCAGTGGTGGGACACACCTTTAATCCCAAAACTCAGGAGGCAGTCCCAGCACTCCACCCACTGATAAGTTGCTTGTGACTAAGACAGTTTGTGTTCAAACTATACTAAACCAAGGAATTCACTTTTAATTTTCTATAGAGAATAAAATTACCCAAAGGCTTGACTATGAAAAGTATATCATATGCTATGAGATAAAATATTTTTAAAAACCATTACTGATATCTGAGAGACAAGATAAGGTGGAAAAGAGCTCCCATGGAATACTTAGTTTAGCTATTTACCATTTTTTAGGGTTTTTTAAGGCTCTCATCCTGGTGTAATGTGGTTTTTGATCTCTAGTGAAATCAACAAGCACTCTGGAGATAAATATTATGTGTTTTGTCTATATCGAGGTCCCATTCAACCAGCTTGGTAAGTCTTTAGAGCTAGACTTTAAAATGACACTAGACATGGGTTACATACCTGTAGTGCCACTGACTCAGAAAGCTGAGGCAGGAAGAGGACCTGAACTTACAACAGTAAGACCACTCTGGTTCACATAGCAAAATCCTAAGTGTGAGTTATCTAGTAGACTAAATCACTGCCATGAGTAGACAGGGGAGAAAATTATCAAAAGTTTCCATTGCTGCCAGTGCAGCATCTCTACAAGTTACTATTCAAAGAGAATTTTATGTATTCAGTGTATTTTATAGCATTTCTCTAAATTAAATATAATTCAGATTAAATAGGTAAGTCAAGCAAGATAAAGTAACTTTATTCATTTAATCTTATCTTTTTAATTATAAACTTGGGTTTGGATTACATCTAAACTGGAAACAGGATGATTCTTGCATTTCAAAGGAAAAATACATTTTTGGCAAAAATTAGGAAATACAATAGCTCAATAAACACAGCTGATGTTAAAAGGGGGTTTCCATTTTAAGGAAAGTAAATTAAACTTCAAAGAATTTTCTCAGCCCACCAGAGTTGGCAGAGCTTTCTGTCAGTGTTACATAATGAACTTCAAACTGCTAATTGAAAGAGTGTCTATTGAATTCTTACTTCAAACTTTTCAAAATTCCAGAATTTCAATTCAGTGGTGAGATAAATGGACAGAACTAATTCTCGTAGATTAAAGATAATCTACAAAATTAACTGATTTTATATAAGCAGATAACTTTAACTGCACTTTAGGTTATTAAAAAATCAAAAATTTGTAATAGTTTTTGAAAGGAGTTTATTTTCAAAAGAAACACTTTTCAGAATTCAATACAGACATCTCTCTCCAGCCAGATGCACTTATATTTCCTACTTCAGAGTATTTTTAGGGTTGTAAAAAATATTTTGACTTTGAAATACATAATACTTGGATAACCTCATGGTATTTACTCTAAGGTTTCCCCATCCTCATCTTGAGATCACGTAATATGCATTCTGACTAAAGTAATAGAGGAAATCTTATTTACGACCTGGCCTAATAAAACTGAAGTGTTTGTAGGAGAGATGTGTCTTAAGGGCAAACAATGAATACAGGATATACTACACTGAGGTGTAGGCATAAAAGAATCTTCAAGTGTCTCAAGTGGGAATAATCCAATAGACCTCACTTAATTTTTGAAACGAGCTTTCTGCGTTAAGTGCCAACTCTAGGTCATTTTTGGAATGTGGCATTAAGATCATAAACTATTTAAAAACCAAGGTAACATGTCAAAATCTGTGTTAAGAGTACACGGGTGTGCAAGAGCACACTTTGCCCCACAGATGACACAGCTACAGAAGACTCCCTTTGCTAGCATCTGAGTTTTCTGTCTTCAAAAACATCATTTCAAGAAATGTGAAGAATGTGAGGAGCTTCACATAACCCTATCTTATAGCCCTTGAGAAAATAGCCTAGGTCTTTCTTTAACATCCATACATGTCTGTATGCCTGCTTATGGGAGGAAAGGTATTTTGTTATCACTAAAATATGTTGTTATATTTGCTGGCTAATAGATGCAGTAATGTGTAAAGAAACCAATTTCAAATTAGGAATTAACAACACTTTTCTAATTCTGCCTTTGTTGCTCAGCAAGTCACTTACCTATTTTACCTTAAGTGTATAGTAGGCCAAACAGTATGCTAGTACTGATTGGTGACAGTAAAACTTAAAAGGCTGTCACGAGCCAGTAGTTGACAATGCATGGCTTGCATGCTTGAGGCCCTGGTTTTGATTGCCCATACCTTAAAATGTTTTGTTTCTTAGAACTTGTCTTCAAAGAATCAGTACGTGGTGGTGTTAGACAAAAAAGCAAATGAGTGTAGTTCTGTAGTTTAGTAAGGGACACCTAAGTCAGACTTAGGGCCCAGGTCATGTTAAGAATGTCTTTCAAAGTTCTGGTCACTGTTTTCATCTCTATTTGGGTGTGTGTGTTCACTGTTCCATGTAAGTGGCTTTTATTTGTCCTTCATATCTAAATATGAAGGAGCAGTTCTACATATGACTTACCTCTTGTAATATGTAAAGAACTGTAATCTCACTAGCTGTTCCTATTGCCTGTATATATTGTATATTCGTGTTACAATTACATTTTAATGTTTTAAAGTAAACTAGTTCATATACAATGCCTAGGTTTCTTTTTAACATCCATACATGCCCGTATGCCTGCTTATGTAAACATGTGGATAAGTTTAGATAAATAGAAACTAGAGGTACCTCATCAAAACAAAGGACAGGGAGCTTAATATAACATTGAATGAAATGCTATGAATATCACAGATATTCGGCATGTTTCTGAAATCTTGGGATAGTTCTTTTACATGAGTTTATTTTTAAAGTTTGAAATTTCTAATCTGTTCTTTTCAAGCTCAGCAGCTATGCGGGCACTGCTCTTCCCAGTGACCGGTTCTTCACCCTTATCTTACTTGACCGATCATCAGCTTTTGATACATTTGGTTACTTCTTAATGCATGGTTTCCGGGACACCACACTCTCTTGGTATTTCTCTTATCTTGTAAGTCAGTTCTGTTTTCTTAGGCTAGATGCTTCCTGGTTCCTGACATGTCTTAATATACTATTTTTCCCCAGATGAGCTCTTTTTTGTTCCCTGCATCAGCTGGCATCCTTGGTAGCTACATGATTTTAAATCAAACTCAGATACCAGTAACTGTCTATAATGTTTTACATTGAACCTAGACATCTTTCCTGTCTACTTTAAGTTCTCATTTACTCTTACTCAGGTTGTTGTCCACTAAGTCTGTACTA